GACAAATGAAGACAGAACATCGGCGCAGCTGGCCTAGTATCCTCTAAACAGCATCGCTTTAGTGATGTTTTGCGGATACCGTTCCCTTCAGGCGTGCGTTGTGCCGCGGCGCATGGTGATGAAGACACACACGTCGGTAGGTGACCATCAGCATCCTGATCAGCTCGGTGTGGCGGCTTTTCAAATCATACCGAGTTTCCAGGAGGTAGTGGCCCGTATCTCACACGCTATCGGTATCGATGCGGCACACCACCGCCTTCTCCAGCATCCACCACGGCATGACATGATAAGCCGCCCCTGCTGCACAATGTAGCGGCGGAGCTCCTCTTCAGACCTCAGGACCACCTCTTTACTGCTCCTGTGGAAGGGTTCATCAGCCCACCACGATTTTTCAGTTACAGACGGTGACATAAGGATGTGAGGTCGTCGGGCTTCTGACAGCTTACCAGCGTTTCTTGGCAGGTGGCACAGCCCACTCTGCCGAGTGCTCTTCCGGTGTTGCCGGTGTTAGGCGTGCCATTGTGACGTCGTCCCGTTGGCTGGAACAGTGCCCCACAGCCAGGATGGATGCAGGATGCAGTCTCACGATTTCTCTACTGCGTCTCGTGCAGGTGCCGGAATATAGCGACGAACTGGCTGGTGTTCGGGCTGTTGTAACGTCCTGAACAAGATAAAATATTGCGTCACATGATATCTTTTGCAGCCTCATCAACCACATTGATGGTTCGTGAGCAGACAAAAGACACTGGTGGTGTTCGGGTCGATGTTCGACTAGCCGCTTTACAGTCAGACAGCCTTCTGTCTGCGCTTGTGTCTCGAAAGGACTCTCAATGTGCCTAGTCTAATCCGACGACCCTCAGCGCCGGGCTAACCGCAAACTTCACTCACGCGGGCGTGATGTACACTCCCATCAGTGCCGTGGGCTGTGGAGGAACACTGATGAGGGCATCTGTCGTGAGCGTAACTGTGAGCGCAGCGTTTGGTGGCGGCATCACCAGCAGGACAAATGGGATGGCTTGGAGCAACGCGTAAGGGCATACCGCCTCGTTATTGGCGCGCTGCTGCGTGTCCTCTCCCAAATGGCAGCAAGTCATGCCTGGAGCCGAGCGGCTACCTGGAGACGGCCCGAGAGTGCGCGACCGGGGGATGTCAGCAGACTCCTTGGCGGATGAGTGGTGCGCGGAACAGCACATGAGTGATTAAAGCGAGGGACACGTCATTCAGCGTCAACAGGATGCAGATCAGCCACCCCACTGAACATAAGGACTTCTCATCAGTCTAGCCCCAGAGGGTCTTCAACTGGCACTTGAATGTGACGTCACTACGCTTATGTACGGTTTTACACTGTTTGACCTGTACCTGGGTGGTCAAGCTGTCTTTCGACTTACACTGTTCCTTAGACAGCAGTCAGACTCACTTCAAATCGAACTCACTATAGTGGGACTTCACCGACTTTTGAAAAATCGCGATGAGCCCGAGATTTTCTTGAGACGATTGCTTCTACTCTTCGACATAGAGCTGCAGTGGCATGATTTATGAGCCAAGATATCACGCCCTGGCAGAGCTGTGTGCCACTCATAAGGTACCGCTTTGCAGCGACGAGTCTTTGAATTGACACTTTACTATATCCGATAACATTTGTCTGTGTAAGCATTATAGTCTACTACGACTTGCATCGTATATATAACACATTATTCCATATTGTTATCATTTGCAACACACACAACCGCTGCAGGTTGTACAGTCACAATGGGTACGGGAAGACATAAAGCGGCATACATCTATTAGTAGAGGGGATTTCAGTACTTTACTATTAAGTTTGCCCTTTTACTTTCCATTTTACTTTCATGTTGACCTCATTCATTTGAGCGACTTCATAGATGGGCTCGCTGCCATCAAAAATCCCTACAGATCTGCACCACACCACCCTCGAAGTCGCCGAGATAAAACTTTGAAATTGAACAAACATTAAAGATGGCGGCGGCCGCCATCTTGAATTCTGAGAAGTGCGCGAAGTTGTGCAAGCAACAGCAAAGCTAATTTGTCTCTCCTAGCTACACAAGACTAGTTACATAGAAGGCTACCGTCAAAAGTTCGCGGCGGCCCACGTTGCATGCTCTCATATAAGAAGCATGATGATGACAATTCGACAACACGTGTTCATCCAAGCTGGCCTAGAGGGCTTGCATTTGGTATCTGGCACATGTTTGCATAATTACCGTACACAACATGTGCAGCTTTGGTGAGTGGTTACCTCGTAATCAATACGAAAACACATCAAACGCTATATATCGATCAATACAGAGGGTTTCTGTGTTTAATGGCCAAATGTGATCCTCGGCTTTCGATTTGACCTTGACTTTGACCCCATACATTACAATTAAGTGCAGAAATGGACTCTCTACGATAAAAGCCCTAAAAACCGGTGTCAAGCGAGCCCCAAGTCGCCTAGAGAAAAACCTTGAACCTGTATCAACATGATGGTGCCGGCCGTCATCTTACATTCTGATCACAAAATGTCACAAAGTTGCACAAGTAGCAGCTTAGCTAATTTGGATCTCCTCGCTACATAGGACATATTTCCGTACCAAAAGTTTGCGGTAGTTGACATTGCAAGGTCTAATATAGGAAGCATAGGTAGCTCGAGTAACTCACATCAACCGACATTAACAAATGACCAGTGACCTAAATTATTACAAACGACGACTCTGGAACTAATCATTTGTAACTACACATAAACGCGTTCAAATACGATTCGTCTATCTACGTGACTCGGTATGGATGACAGGTTCGACTAAAGCGCATCCTTCATTTTTAATTTGTTCCCAGCGTCCCAATCGGTGTCAAGATCGCGGTTGTAGCTCCCGACGACGTGGGCCGATCGCGACCGGTCGCCGAATGTCGGCCAGTCATCTTATAGTGTGCCGCCGTGCGCGAGCCTCTAGTGTTCAAATTAGATTTGTAACCGATCTAGAAAAGATTCGTGCCTTAGTCTGAACAGTAATGCATTGGCCCTTACGTGCATATCTGGTTAAAGAAACTATGGAACCACGTTTTCAGAAAATTGATTTAAAGATCAAACTAGTTCATTTAATGCACCGCGTGAAACTTGAACGTTACGTTGGCCAATGTTGAGAAATAGAGATATTAGGATTTCCGCTGCACTTCACGCAACGCAATGCTCCAAATACTGCTTTCGTTAGAGCGGGTTGAAAGCATGGCTCGTGACGTCATTGCGTATTTTCCTCCGCTCCTATTTCCTTAGCGGTGCGCCATACGGTTCTAAAACTTTCCGAATTATGTTTTGAACATGTAATTACTCTTTGACCTTCTGGTATCACATCTGAAGGAGGTTCCGTGTTGAAATGCCCGCATCCGCGGCCGATTTCTCATGGGATAACCTCTACTGTCTATCTCCACGCGTCGCGCCACTCAACAGACGGTTCTCACTGTTGCACAGGACCTCTGCTAGCATGGCCACCCAAATTACCTGCGTCATAAACTGACTACCACATCATCCAGTGATTGGATACCCACCACACCTAGACATGGCACCGCAGCCGACGCGGCTGCGATACCGCCAGCTGCGGCCCGGCCAGCTCCCCGAGGAGACGGCAGTGCTCTCTGTCAGCCGCCGTCCGGCCAGCTCCCCGAGGAGACGGCAGTGCCCTCTGTCAGCCGCCGTCCGGCCAGCTCCCCGAGGAGACGGCAGTGCTCTCTGTCAGCCGCCGTCCGGCCAGCTCCCCGAGGAGACGGCAGTGCTCTCTGTCAGCCGCCGTCCGGCCAGCTCCCCGAGGAGACGGCAGTGCTCTCTGTCAGCCGCCGTCCGGCCAGCTCCCCGAGGAGACGGCAGTGCTCTCTGTCAGCCGCCGTCCGGCCGGCACACCGAGGAGACGGCAGTGCTCTCTGTCAGCCGCCGTCCGGCCAGCTCCCCGAGGAGACGGCAGTGCTCTCTGTCAGCCGCCGTCCGGCCAGCTCCCCGAGGAGACGGCAGTGCCCTCTGTCAGCCGCCGTCCGGCCAGCTCCCCGAGGAGACGGCAGTGCTCTCTGTCAGCCGCCGTCCGGCCGGCACACCGAGGGGACGGCAGTGCTTTCTGTCAGCCGCCGTCCGGCCAGCTCCCCGAGGAGACGGCGGTGCTCTCTGTCAGCTGCCGTCCGGCCGGCACACCGAGGAGACGGCAGTGCTCTCTGTCAGCCGCCGCCCAGCCGGCACACCGAGGGGACGGCAGTGCCCTCTGTCAGCCGCCGTCCGGCCGGCACACCGAGGAGACGGCAGTGCTCTCTGTCAGCCGCCGTCCGGCCGGCACACCGAGGAGACGGCAGTGCTCTCTGTCAGCCGCCGTCCGGCCGGCACACCGAGGCGACAGCAGTGTTCTCTTAGGTCTTCGGCATGCTTCCACGAAGGACATCTCCAGATCCCCCATAGGCTGCTGGGGAGGTAGGCCTGCATCTCGATGTCATTAGGGAAACCTCCTAACGTAGGCGGCCAAATTAAGGGCGTGGCGTTGTTTGTGGAACTTCCCACACCTTTCGAGAAGCTTAGTTTGTTTGTGATTGGGTTTGAAGGGCGCGTTAACTACAGAGGTTCTTTGCACTCGTCTTTGGAGGGGCTCAAGTCCTAATATTGTTGAACTCCAACAAGGGTTTAAAACAGATTAAACGGGCCATTGACGCGGCGTTAAAAAAAAATCAGCCCCAGTGCCCCCCCCCCCCCCCGCATTCCCACCGGCCATGTTCATCCCGTCCCCCCAATAATATTCATGCGGTTTTGCCTCTCCTCTGATCGCCCGGCGGGTGCCGAAGGCTTCACAGAAGCTGCCCAAGTGCCGGGAGGCCTGGCAGAGCTCGCCGACTGTACCGCCGGCCGCGTGACGCATCCAGGCGGCGCGGCCCGCCTGCCGACGGGATGTTTATCCTGCCCCGCGGCGGCCGGCACCGTCGAACGGGCCCGGAGTCGGCATCGATGCACCGGCCGTCGGCGGCGGCGGCCAGCGGACGCGGCTCGGCGCGAGCCGCTCTCCGTGCGACGTCGAGCGGACGCCGGCTGTGAGCGGCAGGGCAGTGACGAGGGCTCCGCTGCCGGGCAGGCGACGGGGCGTTCCGGCTGCCTGTGCGCCGGGGCGCCGTCAGTGAGCACCCCCAAGGCCCTGGTGGCGTGCCATTTGTGAGAGGTGCAGACCGGGCGCTGGAACGCGCGCGTGTGTGTGTGTGTGTGTGTGCGTGTGTGTTTGTGTAACGCGGCGTGGGAGGGGGTCGTGCACCGGCCTGAATAGCTACAGGTGAGCCACGCAGCGGGTGAAGGTTCGGTACACCGGCCTGGACAGCCACAGGTGAGCCCCACAGCAGCTGAATATTCGGTACGCTGAGCCACTCTTAAATGGAATATTTATATATAATGTTGTGTCGCATAGTGATTCAGATAGTGTTTGGATTCCTGGGACAAAATAGCCGCATTCGGTGGAGATTGAACTTTGACGTCAAAGGGTAGAAAAGTGTTCAAACTCATTTTGTGCGTCTTCCATTGGCTTGTTGCGAAGGAGATCTCCAGGCAAAAAGCCCATAGCAGTGCTCCACTTTGGATTTTCCTCAGGAATTGAAATGAAGCGGACAAAGATAAGACCATGCAGACATGTGGAGTTCGCCACCTTTGAATGTTGCCAGAACATGAACAATGTATCTGAAGCGTAGCAACCATTTCAGGTAAGCCATCTTGACAGTCACGTAAGTCATGCCACGGAGCTAACGCAGTTAAACTTCGCTCTTGACTGATTACAACTTGCATTTGATGTGTTGTTCACCTCATCTCTCCATGTAACTTGGGGGATGTCATTGGTATCGTGTCTTGTGAGGGCACTGACTGCAGTCCTTTTATTGCAAAACCCTGTTCGTTAGAGTCGTGTCTTCATCTCCGCCGCAGCCGTCGCTGGCGCTCCCCGTTGGTCGTCGTGCATGGCTCTTTCACATAGGCTGGTCGTTAAATTAATGCAGTTAACATCTAGCTCCATCTTTGGAAACAGATGAAACTAGGTGGTGGTGTGCCTTGGTGCTTACCAGGCAACTGCCAGGTCGACGCATGGCGCAGAGGGCATGACGTCACGAGGCAAGGGGCCGCTCCCTGAGGTGACCTTTGCCTCCTGACCGTCACCGCGCGGCCGAACAGGCAGAGACAGCATCGCATTATCGCCAATGCAGTGAGCCGTGCGCAAACATATACCGTTATCGTACTTGAGTAGCGTCTGAAGCTTAATCTCCAGCACGCGGGATACCTGAGGCGGCATCATGCACTTGGCGTGGTGCCAGGCCGGCACTGTCGGCGGGCCTGCATCTCCCGCGGTCGTATTTTTAACTCTCCTTACATCAGATGGCAGGCAATACCCGCAGCGAGCCACATTGACAGAATGCCAGCGCCGCAGCTCACCAGCTGCCCGAAGCGTGATGGAAAGCATTGTAAAACAGGGAGAGATTAGTCAGAGTTTTAAGCATCGTTCCCGGAGATGTGAAATTGAATCGTCCAAGCGCCCATGAAACGCCCAATCACCTAAAAGCATACGGCTTACGTTGGCGAGTTTTTGAATTCTTTCAAAAAACGTCTCGGCGCAAAGCCAACAGTTCGCGAGAGCATTGCCACCCCGGAGTCTCCCTCTCCTATATCAGTCACGCTTGGGGCGTCCACATTCGGTACCGCCCCGATCCTCTGCTAGGTGACGGATTGGATCAGATCGTCCCCGCGTGGCGCCGAGCCCAGGGCGCCATTGGCAGTGATCAGTGTTCCGCCGTCGTGTCCTGCGGAGTGTCGAGCGCCCGGCGGCCCCGGCAGGAGTGGCGTCGGCTGGGCCGGCCCCAGGCTGTCAGCCTCCGCCGACGACCTCCGTCTCGTCGGAGTCGACGATCCGAGCGACGCCACCGGGAGTGACGGTAACCAGGGCGGGACGCCGTGGGATGCGGACGTGACGTGGACGTGGGCGTGGACGTGACGTGAACGGGATGGGACGCCACGGGACGCGGACGTGACGCGATGGGACGCCATGGGATCCGACGTGACGTGGACGGGACGGGACGTGGATGGGATGGGACGCCATGGGACGCAGACGTGACGCGATGGGACGCCATGGGACGCGGACGTGACGTGGACGGGACGGGACGCTATGGGACGCGGACGCGATGTGGCGTGGACGGGACGGCACATCACGGGGCGCGACCGGACGGAACAGGACAGAGACGTTCAAAGTCAATGTGCTGATCTGTTTTAACTGTCAGCTGAACCGCATTCATTCTGCTGCACCCACGACGCACGTGATGGAGACCAAATGTTTATTAAGCCTTGCATGGCGCGGAAAATGCATGATCGTGAAATAATCAAGTACAAACGTATATTTGGCTTTCAAGTGGTGAATTTATTTGCCACAATATGCACTTTACGCAGTGCTCTTCAGCTGTAACGCATAAAACGTGCACCCTCTCGCCATATATATATATATATATATATATATATATATATATATATATATATATATATATATGTATATATATATGTATATATGTACATATAACTTATCAGACATTTTTGGTCGGTTTTCAACCTCTTCAACACCTTTCATTTCTGCGCAATGCATGGAGCTGCATGCTATTTTTATGTCCGGGTGTGCAAATCGTCTACCAACCTGTACAAACAAACGCGATGACCTGATTGCTTGCTCGTTTACCGTTGCAATCAGAGTGGTCACCTAGAGAGGCCTGATCCGTGGGGCAGACTTCGCCAGTCCAATTATCCTAGATGTCGGACAATCCCGCACACCTTTGGTCAGATAGTAACGCGGAACCGTAATCGTGGCACGCGGTCCCAGGACACGAACACCCATGTCGGGCCCTGACGCAGTGAGTGGGCATAGAGGCCACGCAGTGATGTATCTGGGTGCAACTGCGTTTACTGCTCTTTTAAACGAGGCTGCCATGCTAATCAGTGTGCTGCCAGGATCACGAATGGTGTCATGGCCGACATTGGTGCAAGTAATTCAAAGCGCATGACACATTTTGCGGGCCTGCGCGTGCTACTTTTGGAACAGCGCATCTAGAAGCAGCACGGTGTGCGCAATAAAACAATCATTGTTTTCAGACTCGCCTGCAAAAGGTCCAGACGCTGACAGCCGCTCAACGAGTGGTGCGAACAGCGAGACCAGGTTCCCGGGGGACTCCGCTTCATTGTCACCGTTCACCTTTTTACGAGCTCCTTCGCCCGCTACGGCGTTCTCCGCCTGTCTCCCATTGTCATCCGGTCGTATGGAGCCCTCCCGTTCGTCCTCATCGGCGTCGACGCCGCCGCGGGCCGGGCCATCGCCAGCGCCCGCCAGGCCACGTACCAAGATGACAGTGCGCGAGATCAAGCCAGACGCTTCCAACGGTGAGGAGGTGAGCGCTGACGTCGCCTTCATGATCAAGCTGAAAACGGCGCGGGAGGCGACCGGCGAAGGCGACGACCTCAGCACGCTGGCGCCCTCCGAGTGTTCAGCGCTGACGGACACCAGCGGCGGCACGGACACCGACACGACGCTGGTGGACGAGAGAAACCAGGAGCTGGAGGGGCGGATCGCCTCACTCGACAGGGAAGTCGAGATGCAGAAGAAGAAGATCGAAAGGCTAGAGCGTAAAAATAGTGAGCTGCTCAAGAAGCGGGTGAGCTTCGTGCTGGATCCCGAGCATGAGACGGACGTGGCTAAGCTCCAGCAGGCGACCCACGAGGTGCCGTCGACCACTGAAGATCTGGAGGACAAAATGAGCTCAGAGCTGCTGATGGCGGGGATCGGTAGTGATGCCCAGTTCAAAGCAACGCGTGCCAGTATTGATCGCGTGATCATTGACCTGAAAATGCGCCTTTCTAAAGCGGAGTCACTGGTAGAGGACTTACAAGAGGAAAATGATGAATTGAGACACGAAATGAAAGAGATGGAGGACGAAATGGAAGAGATACAGGATAGCTTTTGCGAGGATCAGGTCGAGGAATATCACGATCTGAGAAAGCAGCTGGAGCAGGCAAACAAAAATGGTCGGATTGTCCAGTTTAAGCTCAGAAAGGCGGAGCGGGCGATGGAGGAGCTTCAAAAAGAGAAGGACTCACTGGAGGCTCAGGTGAAGACCTTCAAAAATCCTAGCAATGGAACGTCACCAGAATTAGAGGTGCTACAAAGAGAACTCAAAGTTGCTAGAGACGTCTCTTTAAAGCTGGGTGAAGAAGTGGAAATGCTCCGAAATCAAAGTAAATCACCTGACAGCAAAACGCCGGTTCAGAGACAGGTAATGGACTATGACTATTTGTGTAAGAACACGCCAAACCATTAGGGGTTTTAGGGGCATTAGGGGTCACTGGTGCGGACCTAAGTCGGCCAAGCATAGATCCATTATTAAGGTTCTTGATTTGCGTGCCAACTTGCTTGCTTAGTAAATTAAGATTATTAGGACTTGAAACAGGAGACAAATAACTACCAGAAATGTTCTCTTGTTGTTGCGATGTTCTCTGTTCTTGTTGTTTTTGTTCTGTGTTGTTCTCTTTCTGTTCTGTTTGTGTTTTGTTCTGTTCTCTTGTTGACTGTGCTCTCTTTGCGATTCTTCCATTCATTTCTTTTCATTCGTGTCACTATTCCGACCGCTTTTTCCTCGACCAGTTCCTTGCCTTATGGTGTTACATGTGAAGCTGATACAATAAAGGTGACTAGCAGCAGATGGCGGGGAAGTTCAGGCAGAATCGGCCGGGCTACGTTGGCCTGACAGCCAGGTCGGCGCCGGCTGTCTGCCCAACAGCGCTCCGCCAGTGACGAGAGCCAACTGCTGCGGGATCTGGAGGACACCATGGAGCGCGAGGCCGACCTGCGCGAGCAGCTGCGCTTCGCCGAACAGGAGGCGCTCGAGCTGCGCAAGAAGCTCGAGCGCGTCGAGGAGGAGAATGAGACCATTGCAGTTCAGTTGAAGAAGATGGCCAGCAAGGGTGAGACGCTTGATGGCTGGTCCTGCTTTAGATGACTGTTTGTTGCCTGATGCCATATCATGACACTTGGTCAGGCGCCGTGTAGGTTATGGCACGGCGAGTCGGGACGGCCCAGTGATGTGCAGAACCTGCAGGGCAGAGCGAGTACTGTCATCTAGGGACTCCGCTTCACTCCGCTTGTGTATGACCTGCCTGCCTGGCGCTGCGTGCATGTGTACGCATGCACACATCCGCATTGGCACCTGTATTGGTGCCAGAGTTCACAGCCGTTTGCATGTATATAAGTTTGAACTACGCGTAAGTAAGCGCTTTTGCGGGAGCAGTAGTATCTGATATATATATATATATATATATATATATATATATACCCGTGTATCCCTAAATATACATATGTCCCTGTTTTCATTGACGTGCTATTTCGCCTGTGCACCAAAAGGATGCGGCTGTGTTCCCTCCAGGTCGTCGACAAAACTCTCAGGACAGAGCCCTGTCCAGCGAGGGGGACGAAGGGATCGCAGAGGACCTCGAGGAGCTCTCGCCGCACGAGCTAAAGATTCAACTGGAGCTGAATGAAAGGGTTAGCAGCACCATCTTTGAGGTTCATTTTACTTGGCGGTCGGATCTGAGTAAAATGTATAGCTTTAGCCATTTCATCGAGAGGACTGACGCGATTATCTGTCAAACATCGTCTCACTATCTCCTTCGGCACTGAAGCCGTGTCCTGACATGGGTGTATCGTATAAATGCTCTTCAAAAGACAACAAATGTTATGTGTGTGCCAGCTACAGCAGAAGAACATTGGCAATACACCGCATATATATATATATATATATATATATATATATATATATATATATTGTTCTCGGCCATCGCCCCTCACAACCGACCCTCTTATCCTCCTTTTTGTTTTATCCTGAATCCTCGCGACGCCCCGCTTATCCGGGGCAGGCTGCATGCGCCAGCCACGAGTGGGCCGACAGGCCCCCTTGGGAGGGGGATCCCGACCGGGCGCCCAGCGTACACTCGGAGGGGCCCCTGCGCGGGCTGAAGCTCGACGGTTGGCCCGCAGGCGCACGTAGGCCTGCTCCACCGCCATCCCTTCTCCTTCATCCCAAAGCCCCGAAACGATCCTTTCTGGTCGAAAGGGTTTTGATTTAAACAACCAACTAAACGCCACCTCGAAAGTCGTAACACGCTGCAAAATCTGTGTCGATAACAACGTCTGCTCCGTGCGCGCCAGGAGACAACCGCTCTTCGGCAGAAGGTAGACCGGGTAGAACAAGAAAATGAGACTCTGCGTCGTCAAATCGGCGAGCTTCAGCAAAAACCGCACCCTCCAGCCGCTGCCGAGAAACTTCCAGCTGCCAGCGTGCAAAGCCCCAACGCTTACTACGAACAGAAAATCAAGTGAGAAATGTTATTAAAATGGCAGCGTGCATGCAAACGCAAGGATGCTTAACCACCCGCAAAGAATGGATACTCTTACTAAAAATCGCGTTCATGGGTTGAATTACAATCATGGAGCTGTACAGCTGAGTGTGCTCAAAAGGATGGGTCGTACAGAGAGAGAGAGAGAGAGGAGAGAGAAGAGAGAGAGGAGGGAGAGAGACAAGAGAGAGAGAGAGAGAGACGAGAGGAGAGATGAGAGGAGAGAGTGAGAGGATAGGAGAGAGAGAGAGAGAGGGAGACGAGAGAGAGAGACGAGGCCAGACCGATGATTTGAGGAAGAGATCCGAGACGGATGACGGCGAGAGAGGGAGAGATGATGTATGAGAGATGTGGAGAGCGAGAGCGAGAGGAGAGCGAGGGAAGAGACTGAGGGAGAGACCCTTTTGTGAGCTGAGAGAGAGAGGGGGAGAGAAGAGAGAGAGAGAGAGAGAAAGGAAGAGGAGAGTGGAGAGAAGAGAGAGAGTCGGGAGAGAGAAGAAGAGAGGAGAGGAGAGTGAGAGAGAGAGAGACGGAGAGGAGAAGAATAGAGAGAGGGAGAGAGAGACGATGGAGAGAGGAGAGAGAAAGTAGCAGAAGAGAGAGAGATGAGAGAGAGAGAGAGCGAGAGGGAGCGAGAGAGAGGAGAGAAGAGAGAGGGGAGAGAGAGGAGAGAGAGGAGAGAGGGAGAGAGAGAGATCTGCTCAGAAATCTGCTCCTTAATGCGTCATGGTTTGATTATGCGATCATACCTTGCTCAATGCTGATTGAGAGCCAAATGACAGCCGCTAGATCTGGAGTTATGCTCACGGATTTGAATCACGTTATTATGACGTCATAAATCCCAAGGTGACTCTGAAATACTCCCCGATGTACCTTTCCCCATTTTTGCGGCGTGTAGCTCAGAAACTAAAGGGACTTAGGTCGTTAGAAGGGCAGAATTATGAACAGCACCGAAATGTTTTTGAGGCGGCTAGTTCAGCTCCAAACCCCATATACATGTGGAACACTCATCTTAAGGCTTAAGAATTGAAATGCCGGGTGGCATTATATAATTGAAAAGTCGTCGGGTATCCAGGGGAAAGACAATGAAAGAGGATAAACAAAAAACACCAAAAAAGTCATGTATAAAGCTCATGCTGGCAGATGCGATGCTTGGTTGCTATGTGCCAGAAAAAGTGTTACCAAAAATTACTGCCTTAGGTGGTACCAGGGGAGTGTAAAGTGGAGCCTTAGTAGTTGGTTGGTGTGAACTCTCCGCCACAGTGCGCATCACTCACTGACAAAATCCACCTGACGTCATCGGACAGCTGACTTTATGGCCCTACGCCAGCCGCTGTCTATTAGCCACACATAACCTCCGCGCAGTATCTACTGGAACCACTGACCGGGTGACCGACCCAAGTATTGAATTTCCCAAATTTTGACCCCCCTTCGTTTCAGTCTCTGTGTCAATCTGGCTGGCAAGCAGATCACTCAACACATGCCATCTGTTCCGTCTGTATATAAACCATGCATACTATCCGTAATGTGACTCGATATTCCCTTTCAATGATGTCACCGTCAGCGCCTCACCGGCGGTCTATCTCATCAGATAGTTACGGGATCCCAAGGCGATTCCACACTCTGTGATGGTCTGGTTCGTGCAAAAGTATTACATACACCTTTCTCTTCGCACGCTGATTCACAACATATGTGGTCCGGCGATCTTTCGCCGACGGTTCTTGAGCTGTCAGCAGTCAAACGGCAGTTTCTTTTATCATGTAAAATTCATAGCACTGTAGCGTTGGCCTAGGTTGAACGTTTTTCCTCCAGCATCCTCTTTTGCTCCACCTGAGGATCACTTTGCCATTATATTTATGACTTGGCTGCGTAAAAATTGTATAAAAAATGCAACGCTTTTCGTTAAGGTCACCGGTAGCCTCTGTTATATACATGCATTGACGACACGAAATAGTTTTCATACTGTGTGAGCATTGCCCTGTCCGAAACCTGGAACAGCCTCGGCCATGCTACTGTGATAGGCTGTAATGACGACGCCTATGGTACAACTGTTTCATTTACTGGAAACAGCAGTAGCATCTGTAACTGCAAGGCAGCACGCATAACTCTTTGGCGATTAATATGTAAGCATTATTGCCAAAGTTCACTGGATGTCCCCTCAAAGTAAGACTCTGATGCCTCACCGCTCATGTCAAGCATCCCAAGTGTTGACGCAATGCGTGCGAAGTATATTTAGAACAGGTCGGAAAATACCAACGTACAACTCCAAATCGTCTCTGAGAAACCAGTGCAAGCCACGAGGGGGCCGAATCGACTGCACCCCTAAAATACAGAAAGGGTCACACAATCCTGACACATTTCATTTCGCTATTACCCAGAAAGGAGCAACACATTACACCATCCAAACGTCAACGACGTCGTGACATTTTCCTAACCCTTGTATTTTATTCACATCAGACCAACTGTGAACCACCCGACCACACGTCTACTAGGTGTTTTTCATTCCGGTAAACACACCTGACCCTTCTCCCTAGACCTCCTTAATTGTACCTTAGCTAGATGTATTACGGATGTTTTGAATACACAAGGTGCTCAATGAAGAGGGCTTGTTTGTCATTCAGATAAATCATGACCAGTTGTTTTCTGCACAGTGTGCTTGAGGAGGAAATGAACCAAGTTCGCAAGAAGCTGATAGACAAGGAGCGGGAAAATGACATACTTAAAACGGAGTTGGAGATGCACCACAAAAAGGCAGGCAAGCCTCCTTTCTCAAGAACCAGGTAAGCCAATGTCAATGCAGACGGGCTTCTGTAATTCGATGGGGCAGGATTTTCTCTTGCTCAAGGGATCACCTGTGCGCACCATCTGGTCCCTGGTCTGCTCGGTCAGTGGGCCGTTTTGTGTCTCTATTCTACATGTCTGGAGCTGACAAATCCAAACGTGCCCGGAGGCAAAGCTCACGCTCGGATGTTACATCATTGGCGGCCTCTATCCACCCATTGGGGTGGGACTCAAAGCCAGAGCTTCCACTTGGGGGCTGTGATGTTTCGGAGCCAGAGCTTCCACTTGGGGGCTGTGACAGTTCGGCTCCGCGCACTCCCCAGGTCCTTGGAGCTGAACGAGTCAGGCATTCTGGTACGAAAGCGGCAGCCAGCTTCATCAAAGCCACAGGACAAGGTGAGCCAGTTACACAGGGTTTTGAGATCCGCCATGTGTTTCTGAGAAAGGACGGGGGCATTCTTTCCCAACCCTTCCGATATTTGACATTGTGTCCAGGACGAAAGCGATGATGTAAATGCCATAAAATTGCTTTATAACCGCCCAAAACTTTTGGTTCATGGCGGACGCAATAGCCCGAACAAAAACAAAACTATAGCAATACCAGTCACTTTGAATCTTTCTGTGCTTAATTAAGTTTCGTCTAACCGGTGATTAGTGCATGTGATCCACGCCTTGGGAAACGGGTCTGTGTTATGTTATGTTGATCTTGCTTGTCATGTGTGGCCCGTCTTGCCGATGTGCATGTTTTCTCTTTCTGCGCAGGATGAACTTGCAGTGAACGAGAGTTTATTGGTCCTTAGTGCATGCACTACCAAGGCCGACAGCCCCCAGGCGGAAATGGACGAAATGGAGCGACGAATAAAGGAGTTGAAGGAGCAGGCACGAGCTGTGCTCAGCTTATTTATCCCTTTCCTTTGCATGACAATTTTCCCTTCCTGACGAGTTAATTAAGACATCGGCAATGTTGGCCGTGGTTGATGCGATTTATTTCATTGATGGTCAAATAAATTTCTCTTAAAAATATATGTGCAAAACACTTTTGCCTGAGGACAAGTTGACAGCTCGTGGCTAATAATGTATGCACATGTTTCTTCCAGCATGAAAATGATGAGCGTCTTGCAAATGAGCGTCTCAAAAAAGTGCAGGAAGACCATCAAAAAGAAAAGGCTGAATGGGAAAAGGCCAAGATTACAACACTAGGAAATGGAGCATCTCCTAAAAGAAAAATTCAAAGCAAGTGTACCGGGTGAACGGCAGCATTGTACTGCCATCGCAGTTCACATTCCTTTTGACTCATTTCGATCGTGCAATCAGCGACACAGTCGAATTCATAGGCAGGCAGATTGTGGGCGAGACAGTTTTGCGATTGAAATTCATAGGCCCTGAGCTGATTTGCTTGCATCCTATCTGAGCAAAGAAACTGGTCAGGAAATAGACTGACAGTGAATGATTGTATATATATATATATATATATGTATATATATATATATATGTATATATATGAAGTCTTTTTTAATTATAAATATGCAGTCTTTTTTTAATTAATTATATATATATATATATATATACGCGGGTGTGTGTTTGATTAAAAACAACTGCTGACTCAGCATTGGCGACCTTTTTGACGACTCACTGGCACTCACTGTCAGCATTTAAGCATCGTCCGCTGTTAGTCTGTTTCCGGTATACAGTCGTTTTGAATTGTTGTCCTTGTCCATCGACAGTCACGTCAAGAAAGGGCATTACGTTTTGCACACTTAGCTCTGTTGTTAATTTTAAGCCAGACTGCTCTTCAAACGTGTTTTTGAAACGTCCTAGTTACACAATGTCCCTAACTTCCACAAAGATATCGTCTACGTAGCGGCTGTAAATCTCCTGTCTTATGTCGTCATCTTGTAGTGTGTCGGCTTCTCCGTGTCTCATAAAGAAATTAGCGAATAGAGGTCCTAGAGGTGAGCCCATCGCAACACCCTCAATTTGGCTGTGCATTCGGCCATCAGGCCCGCGAAAATCTACTTCCGACGTAATCTTATTTCATTTACGCGGAAATCTACTTCCAACGTAATCCTATTTCCCTTACGCGGGCCTGATGGCCGAATGCACAGCCAAATTGGGGGTGTTGCGATGGGCTCACCTCTAGGACCTCTTTTCGCTAATTTCTTTATGGGACACGTGGAAGCCAACACACTACAAAATGACGGCAAAAGACCGGACATCTACTGCCGCTACGTAGACGACATCTTTGTGGAAGTTAGGGACATTGTCCATCTAGGGCGTCTCAAAAACACATCTGAAGAGCAGTCTGGCTTAAAATTCACAATAGAGCTAAGGGTGCAGAATTTAATACCCTTTCTTGACGTGACTGTCGATGGACAAGGACAACAATTCAAAACGACCGTATATCGGAAACAGACCAACAACGGACGGTGCTTAAATGCTGACAGTGAGTGTCCTCGACGCTACAAAATTAGCGGCATAAGGTCCTTCATTAGACGAGTTAAGCACTGCTCTGATTGGACAGGACTACATTCAGAACTGATAAGAATCAGACAGATCTTGGTGAACGACGGTTTTTTCAAATTCCTACGTCGAAAACGAAATACAACGACATGACAATGACAAGACAATTTGACAGGAAGCCAAGACAAGGCATCCAACCAACCGTCAAACTGCATTATCAAAATCAAATGACATCTGCCCACAAACAAGACGAAAAAGCTTTACGGGAATTTATCTCTCGACATGTTAAAGGCAAAAACGACCAGAAAATAGGCATCGTCATTTATGACCGTAGCAAGAAAATATTTAACTTTCTGATGAGGAACAGCCCAGACGAGCCCGACAAACTAAAATGCACCAATGTAGTACATCAATTTAAATGCAACATCGAAGGCTGCAAACTTCGTTTCATGCACTACATCGCTGTGACCACGACGCTCTCACGACGCCTGACAATGCACTTACGTGATGGAGCACCTCTGGACCACATGCGACAGGAACACGACATGACATTGACACGACAACGACTGACAACAGTGCGATTTTACGGACGAGCAATGACAGAATACGCCTTCAAATTTGGGAAACCATATTCATGAACTCTCTGGCCCTTAAGAGATAAATAAATTCTGGCACAACTCTTGAACTATTAGGTGGTGGGCGGTGAGCACTATTGATGTGATTGTGGCAATAGTGTTCTCATTGTGTCTTTGCAGGGCTCCCATTGTAAGTTTTTCTTATATGTATCAAAGTGAAAGTAGGATTCTGTCTTACTTCAATTATTTATGTTTCATTGATGTTCTCCGTACCAAAAGATGTTTTCCAACAGAAATGCACAATTTTTACCCTTTAAAACTCAACCCTTATTTCTTGTGTCATTCAGTCTTCTCCGGCGATGAGATAGGACCTCGAAACGTTAGAATGTAAGGAGCGATGAATATATGAATAATTTTGTGCGAACTATCTTTAATCTAAGCGATGGTACCAAGTCAAAGGCCCGGAAACTAGAGCGACGCGTCAAAAAGTTCGTCAATCCTGAGTCAGCAGTTATTTTTAATCAAACATGTATAAAAGAAAGGATTCTGCCAAAAGATTCCTATATATATATATATATATATATATATATATATATATATATGTACGTGTGTGTGTATGTGTGTGTGTGTGTGTGTGTGTGTGTGTGTGTGTGTGTGTGTGTGTGTGTGTGTGTGTGTGTGTGTGTGTGTGTGTGTGTGTGTGTGTGTGTGTGTGTGTGTGTGTGTGTGTATGTGTATGTGTGCGTGTGTCAGTGTGTGGGCGCATGTGTGATGACTACTTCGCTTGAAATGGGGGATTGGGGTACAGCAACTCTGAACCTGTGGCCTGCGTGCTGCGATAACTTTTGTTTGGTCTTGAATTCACCCATACCGTGTGCCCTCGTTAACAGGACTCGAGCGAGAGTTCGCTGATCAGAAGCAAGAATGTGAAGACCTGGCTAGGAAGTACACACTGCTGGAGGAAGATTACGTCGTCTGCAAGGCACAGCGTATGCTCGAAAAGGAGCAATTCGAAGGGTGATTGCAGCAGACAATTTTTCACACAATTCCCCATGCTATGTCGGTATGAAGGTCCATGGAGACAGCAGCGCAGCTGTTAATCTAAGTTACTTAAACCTACAAGAGGCCATCTGCAGATTGGGATGCATACAAATGGAGTTTTTCTCCACACGTGTGAGTGTTCATTCCACCTCAGCGGAGCCGCGCTGCTGTTTTTGGCAGGGAGTTCACGGTGCTGAAGCACGAATACGACACGGTGAAGAAGGAGCTGCAAACACTGCGTGAAACGTACAACACCAGAGAAGACCAGTGGTTGCGAGACAAGTTGTCCATGGAGGACAAGGTGCCTAAGCGACTCAGGATGGCTGGCAGCCGCACGAGCAGGCCTGCTTTATAGATCATTGAGGCTCAAAATGGAACACGTAAAAAAACAAGTGCTCCGATTAAAGTCTTGCAGGCCGATTGACTCCAGTCTAAGATATATTTTTAGGGTGATTGGAATCATGAGTAGGCTCGTAATGGGAATTCAAAAGTGTTTATCTGTTCTCCGATCTTTTCGGGTCTGTCCGCTCTAATTTCGGTTGACTTTGATCTTCATAATGCTGATTCTCAATTGTCCAAAGGTTTCACAAAACCTGGTAGCACCATTCTCCCAATCAGCCAGTGAAATATTTGTGTTAGAAAGTTAGTAAATGCTTCAAAAGCTCCCACCGGTCAGAGGCTTGTGGTCCTTGAACGTCGCTACAACATGTATCGTGCAGCGGGCGGTGGCTGCGACGCCTTCCTCTCTACTGCAGGTGAGGGAGGCGGAGAAGCGATGGGGTCGTGCGGAGGAGATCTCCTGGAAGCTGGAGAGGTCGCGCCTGCAGGACACACTCCGAAACATGACCGACGACGTGCAGCGGCTAGAGAAAGCCGAGCTCTCGCTCAAATGTGAGATCAAGGCCATCAAAAAAGAGGTGAAAATCACTTGTTTATTACCAAGTGCATTCAGACACTTGAATTCAGACTGCTGTGGCGAGGCCGCTTAGCTACATTGAAGGTTGTCCTGCTTGTTCGTGTTCTGCTTGACTTGCAATGCGTTTCCTTCCCTGGACAAGTCGCAATTTTGCTGTCAGCTTCGGTTGAGAACATGGACATTCACTCCATTTGAGAATCACCCAACTAACAATATGCCACTTCATAATGCTATAAGTGTTACAAAATTGTCCAGGACCTCGGCATTCTACGCACGCAACTCAACTGATGTCATCCATCCGCCGCTCCCGAGTGGAGGCTGTAGGATCATGCCACTGCCTTCTAACCAGCTTGATACTATGCGAGGAGTGGTGGGTTTTTCGAATATCAAGACTTGGATGCCCCTTACTGTAGTTTTCGGCTTAATATAGACAAAAAGAAACAAAGACGCAGGCATGCCATTGATGTTGTTATCTCGAGATGAATCTCGTACCTTTTTGAGCCTATGAGGAATCCTAACCAGCAACCATTCAAACGACGCTCTACTATCAGCTTTACTCAAGGGAAATCAACGAAAAAATTACGTAAGTTGTTCAGTGCATTAGCGAGGAACATTATTCACATAGACAAGACGGTAGTATTAGCCTTGTTCCTCGGAGGAAGACCAGGAGAATGGAGATATAGTTGGGTCGATATTTCGGCAACATGCCTTTATCGAAACAATAACAGAAGTGAACCCAAAATTCCCTGCCGATGATCCTACTCGATTTTTCTGGGTTTTTTGCTTGAAACAGCAAGCCACAGTTTTTACAGCACACCAACATCAAAGAGATTAAACAAAGAGAGATTGCCAGCTATCACCACGATACAGTGCCTACCCAAGAATTAGAATGCGCGAACATACGTGTACATGTAAGCGAATTTAAGGAAATGGGCATCATGCATCATGCTGCATTCAAACATGCAAGCGAGTTGAAGTAAGCAGGCATCACACATCACGCATCAATTATACATGAGAACGATTTAAATTAAACAGGCATCGCGCATCACGCGTCAGGTATCACTTACACATCTAAACGCATGATTTCAAGCCAGCACGCATCACAGATATAGACACATATCACGTTCGCATAATCGGCCATAATTAGCCTTGTATGTTAAGATTTGGGTGCCGATTTTTCATAAGAATAGATTCGTTTATTTTCCTATAAAAAGAGAATACCCCTTTCGGTGACTTTTTTTGTCAAAACACGCTCAGGCCGAAATCCAGGGAGGCATGGGCCCTATGCCCCTTTTAGAGCTTAAAGTTATCTACAGAGCACAGGACCACCCAGATAGGGAAATACATGAATATATTCTTATAAAAGGTCGGCGACCAAATCTTGACATACAGGGCTCATTATGGCCGATTATGTGAACGTGATATGTGCCTTTATGTGTCATGTGTGCTAGCTTAAAAACGTTTACGTGTGTAAGTCATGTCTGACGCAAGATGTGCGATGGCTGTTTATTTGAAATTGCTTGCATGTATAACTGATGGGCGATGCGTGGTGCTTGTTTACTCTAACTCGCTTGCATGTTTGAATATGGCATGATATGTGATGCCTATTTGCTTGAATACGCACGTATGTTCGCGTCTTGTAATTCGTAACTAGGCACTGCATCGTGGTAATGACCGGCAATGGCTCTTTGTATAATCCCCTGAATGTGGGTAACCTGTAAAAATCGTGGCTTGCTATTTAAAAAACCTGAAAAATCGAGTAGGATCATCGGCAGACAATTTTGGATTCACTTCTTCTATTGTTTCGATAAAGGCATGTTGCCAAGATATCGACCCAACTATATTTCCATTCGCCTGGTTTTCCTTTGAGGAAGCAGGCAAAGCAACGAGAAAAGTTTACAAACCCCCGATTTCTAGCACATCCCCACAAATGATATTACGAACAGAGATATGGACCGGCGTTCAGAGCCCGTATTGCACTCATCATGATCATTGACGTTGAGAATCCATATGAGATCATCATGGCAGGTAGTTAATATCGCGTGGTATTTGCCTAAAGGGAATGTTTTACACTTGAAGATGCTGAGGCAAACATCAGACATGATGAAACAAGCTTCCTTTTTACTGTTGATAGATGCCAATTGTATATACTTATACTTGAAATTATTTACTTTTATACAAAATACTGCTCAAGACAACAAAATTTCACTTTTTCGTAAGCATGATACTCATCAAAAATTTAGATGTACCTTGTAAGGTCGTTGACCTATGACAGTTCAAAGTCAGGCCATGGTTTCAGCGAAGGCAATTTCTAGGGAATCCTTTAATCTGATCCAACAACGCGTTGTTAGCCGAAGCCATACGTCTCTGAGATGCTCTCTTTGGCAATACAACAGTTGAATGAGCATATTGCATTGACCTAAGGTCAATTATAAAGGTCACACCAAGGTCAAAACCAGCCTGTTTTGTTACTATACGACTTGCTGTATGGTATAGTTTCTGGTGCTCATTTCGAATTTATTGATAGCAGGAACCGCATTACACATCATCTATGGACTTTTTAGAGGTCAGAATAGGTCATTGATCTAAAATAACCTGGGTCACTATTTTGTTTTAGGAACATACTGCCTAGCGTAATCTTTGTCGCTCAGTCAGATGCAAAGCCCAAAGCAATATTGTATGATTTCGGTTACCTTGACCTTCAAAAGGTCAAACAAGGTCACTGACCATAAATGAGCATGTGACATTTTGCTAAGAAACGGTTATCTAGGTTCTTGGGGCACTTTGGAGACCAACCTGGACTTGACTTTGCTCGATCTTATTTGACCCGAAGGTCAAGACCCAGGAACCTGAAACTTTGACCTAAGTGATTTCACGCACAGGTCGACACACATGTAAATTTTGTGTCTCTAGCCTTCTTAGTTCCCGAGATCTCAGCGGGGGTCAATTTGCCCCCCTCCCCCCCCGCCCGAGCGAAGGGTATCTAACCGGCCACCCGGGCGCGTGTTAAAACTGTTTGAAACTTGCACTGAATATGTAACATTCGTTGAGGGCCAATTGAGCCATTTGGTTCCAGAAATTGTCCTCACATCCGCCAGACACAACTAACTCAACCACCATATTTGTTGGACGTCACATGGCCAGTGAGGTGGCAGTATTTGTGTGACTTTTCCATGGCGTCATTTATGCCTGGGTGACCGTGAAATAGTCTGCGCGAACTAGTCCGCTCAATTTCGTGGGCGTCTAGTTCAGAAGCCCGAGGGTTTGAAGTGTTAGGGGAACGCAGCTGCGTGTTGCACCGAATAGTGTTCAAAATGGCTATCTCAGCTCAAAACTTCTTTCCAATTATGAAACACTCTCTTTAAGATGGTGAAGGATGGGTGATTAAAGTGATGTAACCATGCCGCCTTGTGTAGAATGTCAAAACAGTGCGATGTAAAAGATCGTCGTCTTCAGGTAGCACCATAAGAAGTTTCGCTACAGAGGTCTGTCGAGCCCTGAGTCGAAGAGACGGCAATGGCTCCGGCTAACTGGTTGAGTCCTGCGCGCAGAATATCCTAGCTTAGTTCAGCTGCGCTAAAATGCTGCCCCACACCCACAAAGTTTCTGCTTCATGACTTCATCGCCTTACATGTGCCGGAATTGTAACGTTACCGAGGCACGCACGAAGGAAATCGTGACGTCAGTATGGTCCCATGTCCTTGTCACTGTGACGTCACTATCAGTCTGTGTCGGCGGTATCGGCGCGTGGGGGACACGTCTCCCACGATGCCCAAAAACCCACCTTGCCGACAGTGAGCTGTCTCAGATAAGCGCTGCAAGACGCGCTCAGGGGCGTTAGATTACCAGTACGACAAAGCGCGTGCTCAGGTAATCCACTATGTGCAACGTAACGCCCGGCACCATGCACGTCATGACGTCATAGCAACAGCATCGCCGTAAGTGCTCATCCAAGTATAAGCTGCATGGCATTGGCTTATCCTGCAATGGATGATCAGACACTTGTGTGATGGCTCGCGTGTACTTCCGGGATTTATCAATTCATCAGCCAGTCTAGGACAAGCCATAAGATATCGCAGGCATAATACACCTCCCGTGCGTGCGTGTGTGCGTGCGTGCGTGGGTGCGTGCGAGTGATTCGTGCTAATCACGCCACGTTTCCTGGCGCCCCACTTAAGTAGCTTTTTTGTTGACAAGTTACGAAAGATAAGCATGCGTTCCCGTGCCAAGTAGTGTCCGGCCAGTTCTGAAGTCCCCGGCATGTGATTCCGCAGGCCGACCGTCAGCTGGATGCAGAACGAGTAGCCAACAGCAAGACGGTCGAGGAAGAGAAACGGTCTCGGGAGGAAGAAGCTGCTGCTGCCAGACAACAGTTAGAGCAGGTGTGTGCATGTGTGTGCATGCGTGTGCGTGCATGTGCGTGTGTATGTGCGTGTGTGTGTGTGTGTGTGTGTGTGTGTGTGTGTGTGTGTGTGTGTGTGTGTGTGTGTGTGTGTGTGTGTGTGTGTGTGTGTGTGTGTGTGTGTGTGTGTGTGTGTGTGTGTGTGTGTGTGTGTGTGTGTGTGTGTGAGCAGCACCAAACGGGCTAACAATCACGTATACAACGTGTGCATGATTGCGGTGGTGTAGCTCTTTCAAGTTTACAGAAATATCATTTGCGTGGCTAAAGCTCTATTGAAATGAATAGCACATGTTTGAGCTAGGTCGGCAGCGTCGAGTATTGAGACAAAGTCAATCATTTAAGTCGTTGCTCTTGCCTATCATTGGCAGAGCGGTTCGGGGTCAGGCCATAGCCAGGATCAGCGCATGGCGTCCAGTGTGTTCCATCTTTCTGCTCGCTTCCCCTGTTACGGACTTCCCTCTTCGTTCGACACCATGCGAGTGTCAGGGGAACTCGCTGAGGCCCTTGGAGGCTTTTACAGCAACGTTGATGTCATCACGTGACATTTCCAAAGCCACGTTTGACTCAGTTTCATCCTGTAAGGTAAATCGATGGAAGTGGTCAATCCAGGGCCCCGGAGAGCTAGCCTCCCCAAAACATGTTACTTTAAGAATGTTGTCCGTTTCATGCTGTTGAGCGGTGAGTTTGGAGTTTATTCTTTTGTATAATTTATCAAATAGGCATATATTCTACCAGTATGGTACTCACACCGCGGGAATGCAGCAAAAGAAAACGCATCGCAGGATCTGAAGAGGGGCGTCGATGTTTATAGGTGCGGGTACATGTCACGTGTTTGTTGTGTACAGGATGGCACAGCGTCCACCGCGAACTTGGTGGCAAAGCAACAGATAAGGAGTGCCAATGAGGCGCGATTCAATGCGTTGCTTGAATAATTAGTAGCGAATGTTGCTTGCAGCAAAACTGCAGGACTTTTGCGGTTATTGAGAAATTCTGTGTTTGGCGTTTAACATCGCATGTTTTTATTTACTTTTTTAGCTGTCTATCGTCAGTTTGTCAATGGTCACATTTTTTTCGCATGCGTGTTCATGTCCGTCAAATACTTGGTATTAGGGGAGAAGATGTCCTCTATAAATAGCAGGAACATGAAATGTGACTCACTGGTTATTACGATACCATTGGCAAGCGAAGTGAAAGACTTATTTTGTACTACCTCAGTGATTTCACAAAGTCCCTGGATTTTGCAAATTTACAGAATTTTTATGCTACCTATAAAACGCATGCGCACGTACACACGCACACACACGCACACACGCACGCACACACGCACGCACACACTCACGCCTACGCACAGACAGGCACGCGTACACGCACGAACGCGCTCACGTACACACACACGCACGCACGCACGCACAACCGCGCGTGCACGAAAATTAGCATGATATTGTACATTGCAGCCAACATAAACTGTCGAAAATTCGCATTAAAGGCCATACATGAGATTCATGCGGCAAATGCACGTACCATGTTGTGGAGGGATACCCCCCCCCCCCCCCAAACGCGAATCGACGGTATGTGATACGGAAGCTGCGGATGAACGCCCAAGGGAGGGAGGCAGTTCTTCATCGGTACTCATGAAGAGGTTAGCACAAATAAATTGCGATTTCTTCCCCGAGTCTAACCATTGCATAAGCACCCGACACATTGCTCTAGGGGCCCGACCAATGTGAGGTTCGAGTCCCTGCCTTGTCTCTTCTTTGGACATGGTTCCGCAGGACCCAGATCGGCACAAAACCGACTGTTCGGCGTTAGCGGTGTGCGTACGTACGTGCGTACGTACGTGTGCCCGACATGTGCGTACGCTTTGCCCCAGGGGCTCCCATTCTGTGCAAGGGGCCCTCTAACTGGCATACTAGGGCCCGTTCTTTGCTGGCCAGGGACCCTAATAAGAGGGCTTGAAAATTTGCGTGCGGTAACCCGTAAAAACGGTTACTGAGCGTGGTTTGTACCGTTATGTTATTGGTCACGTTGTGTACTACGGCATGTAATCTTTTAAAAATTATTCTGCATTTTCTTCCATTTCGGCGTTATGGTGAAAACACTGCATCGCTGCACAACGTGCTTATTCGTTAGCTGGTCGCAAGGCTCAATTAATGTCCTTAGTGAAGGGAAGACACGCTATCTTATCGGCCATCTCGAGGTCTCGAGACGGATCTGAACTAAGTATTGGCGTACAGGCGTCGATTGCAAGATAAGCCGTAACTTTGTATTTGCTCTCATAACATTGGTTGTTTTTGAACGGCTCACTTTCGGAGATGAAAGCACTCCACGGCTGGCGCGGGGCGTTTGGGAACTTCCAATGGCGCGTCACAAGAGCTGCCCACTGCGACGCAACAGATGCTGCGGAGTGTGCACCGGGACACTCTCGGGATGAGTTATTGGCTTCTCAAACCTGTTCACTGTCAAGCTGCACATCTTTCCTAACAATTCGGGTGTGCCGACCATGCGTCAACACGTGAAGAAGTATCACTTTCACAAAGAATTCGGTGTTTCTCGCTTTAGGAGTGTCCCGTGAGTTTCCTATGCGTCACTGTCTTCCTCTTGCTGTGATACTTGGGTCATGTCACCAGATAATACACCAGCAGCCTAACGCTAATCTGTGCGCCTGTACGTAATTTACGTCGCTGGACACACATCACCATATAACACATGCGACCACGCCCGTAAAGAGCCACATCGAAGCCACGCATGATCGTGCCCGGCTTGGTGACCAGTCGGTCGTGCGGACGACGGTAATCGGCCGGCGCACGTGACCCGTCCGGTCTGAGCACGGCTACGCCATGAGCGGCGGCAAGTCGCAGTGGCAGAGCAGCCCGCCTTCGCCCAACAGACAAAGCTCCCGGCAAATGAGGTTCCAGTCGGGGGGCGACTCGGTAGGGTGATGATGCCCGCCGCTACCGCGGGCAGTCTGTGGCGCCGTCATCGCCCGCTGTATAGATGGCAGTACAGTCTGCCGAGGCCGGGGCTGCGCCTCAGGGCAGATGCACAGGTTTGTTTGGGGGTTGATTGAACACAGGGAGCGGCACTGAAGCAGAGGAAATGACTTTGGAACGAAAGGGGCGGCGGGGGGACGTAAGCAGTTGCAGAGGGATCCGCCTTGGCCTAAAGGACATAGAATGGCGCATATTTTGTCGATGTCTGGCGTGGGAGAAGGGGCTGGAGTTGTGCTGCGTGCTTTAGGGGTAGTGGGGACAGAGGGGCTTGTTGGCAGCTCGGAAGTCACCGGAGGAGGTGGACGGGTCGTCGGTGGAGGAGGTGGACGGGTCGTCGGTGGAGGAGGTGGACGGGTCGTCGGTGGAGGAGGCGGTCGGGTCGTCGGTGGAGGAGGTGGACGGGTCGTCGGTGGAGGAGGTGGACGGGTCGTCGGTGGAGGAGGCGGTCGGGTCGTCGGTGGAGGAGGTGGACGGGTCGTCGGTGGAGGAGGCGGTCGGGTCGTCGGTGGAGGGGGTGGACGGGTCGTCGGTGGAGGATGCGGTCGGGTCGTCGGTGGAGGAGGTGGACGGGTCGTCGGTGGAGGAGGCGGACGGGTCGTCGGTGGAGGCGGCGGTCGGGTCGTCAGCGGAGGAGGTGGACGGGTCGTCGGTGGAGGGGAAGGGGGAGCAGCTGACGGCATGGGGCACGGGCAGATCGGGTGCCGGCACGTATAGCCGCGCCGGTTACAGAGGGCGAGTAGAGCAGCGGGATTCTCGTTGCGGAGCTTCAGCAGTCGCAGCGTCAGCAGTAGTGGCCAGTGGGTCTTGGTGCCAGGTGGTCCCTGGGAGGAGTCGCAGTGGCAAGCGCTGCCTCCGGCTCCGACCTGGCAGAGGAGGGCACAGGCGGAGCGCGACCGGACCTCCTCCGCCAGCAGCGGACTGGCCGGTACGGACGGCTGGACCGACAGCGGCGGCAGCGCAGCCACGCAGCCGAGACTCCAGGCCAGCAGCAGGCCGCCCAGACTGCTGCCAAATCTCATGTCTGCAACATGGCGTGCACAGGGACAGTGCAGACGGCAACCAGCGGGAGCTAACCTCATCTCTGAAATATGTGACGTTCATCGACTTTGGTGAGGGTTTACAGGCACCGGACCACTAAAACCCCAACACGGGACGGGAAAAGTCTTGGCTGCCTGCAGTGGTTCACGCGCAGCCAGACAGCTGCTTATGTGTGATTCAACACACCTAGGTCCAGAAAATGGGTCTGGGCACTCTGCAGGGTTCGAAAATGGGTACGTTTTTATCAAGGGAAGACTATAACTTGAAAATCGTTTGCTAACGAGGTTATAGTGGAGCTTCCTGACGACATTTTGCGGTCGCTATACGCTGTTGAACCAGAAGCAAAGAACCGTGATCTGGTGGACCCTTAGGAAGTCAACATTCTTCTCAAAATCAGGGAAAATTTACCGATTCAATAATGATACGTTGCCACATACACGCCCACAACCAGTTACACCACACACCCGGACTCACGTTCTGAGCCATCGGCCACACTACGCTGAGCAGGCAGTGTGGTGTGCATAACTGTAAAAGCGTTCTAAAATATCGCGTCATATTTCAACGGTAACATTGAAGAACTTGCAAAAGGAGGCACACCGTGTCATTTGGAAGGAAATATTTCAGTTTCGTATGCATGAACTCGGACAATGGCAGCTGGATGAACTTGAAAATAAGATGGAAGGAACCTAAAAGCGAATTGAAAATTAAGCTGGGTGAGAATGAGCGGGACTTCAAGTTTACTCGTTTCTTCAATATGAACGTGAAAAAAACGAATAGCTGTGCTGACTTTCTTCAGTGATACTTTTCCCCGGCGCGACATCCTTCTAACCTGTCACGCAGCTGAAAATATATGTGAGTATGCCTTGTACGCATTGTCCTGCAGCTCGGCATACATTGAACTGAATGGGCTCCTGGGAACTTGTGCCAAAATTTCAAATGTTTAGAACATAGGAACGGGTCTATTCACCAATGCGAAGGCCAAAACTGAACTGAATTTTCAGTTTAGTTTTGTTTTGTTTTTAAAACGTCCTCTAAACGCTCGTGAAAGGCGACGTCATATATATATATATATATATATATATATATATATATATATATGAATAAATAAATGTGTCTGTATGTGCGCATGCTTGTGTACGTGCCTGTGTGCGTGTTTACGTGTGTGCGTGCGTGCGTGTGCATCACTCGTAAAGCGGTATGAAGAGGGACATCCTCAGTTGCCTGAGCATGGCTAAACACTCGTGTCAGACTCCATTTCAGTTTTGTTGTGCGGTATCAGCAGCAGTTATTAAAGGATTGTGCCTCGACCGCTGCCGTGAGTTTAAGTCTGTCCTGTTTTACTGCGCTCGTGTTGGGGTGTTTAGATTTTAACACTGACCATACATACCATGGCATCTTATTGTTGAGAGACATCTGTTGAGGGCATGATCGGCAAAAACATTGGCATATTGTAAGTGAATCAACAAATTAACAAATGGAATGAATAATAGTGCATCCGCTCAGTACGAAACTTCTGTTTAATCCATGTGCATTATTTGAGCTCAAAGTCCAGAGTAAGGATCCCAGATGTGACACCCTACCTTGTGCGTTGTTTGTCCGTGCTCAATGCACCACGGAGATGCGTCGACTGATGCTCTGAGGCCGATAATATCCCGCTGTCAAACGGGACACCGATAAGCAGAACAAACAGTGCTCAGTAAAAATGGTTCTTGATAAGGATCTCAGCTTTAAAGGTTTGAAGAACATACCCTCACGCCGAAATCGCTGCGCGGCTGGACGCAGAGCGCCACACGACCCGTCGGCTCACATTGCTAAAAGAAACAGTTCACACCAGGTCATTAGAGAAGCATCGCAAGAACAGTACAAGGGCGAGATGTGTGCGCATGAAGCCCAGCGTGACACCACATCCTCAACTTCAAGTGCAGTCACAGGATGCGCGCAGCTGACGGCCGCGACGTGCTCGGATCGCCGTGATAAGGCGACCAGGAGAGCAGTGGTCGCGGCTGTCACGGCCACGCTGCGCTTCCGGCTCTGTCTGCCTCTCTGCGAGCGTGGGAAGTCGACAGGCGGCACGGGTCGACTGTGGTGGCCCGGGGCCGGTTCGCGTCACCACCCTCCGTCTACGTCCGTGACCGTGGGAAGTCGACAGGCAGTATGGGTCGATTGTCATGGCCTGGGGCAGGCCCGCACCACCACCCTCCGTCCACGTCTGTGACCGCGGGGAGTCGACAGGTGGCACGGGTAGATTGTGGTGGCCCCGATCAGGTTCGCGTCACCACCCGGCGCCACGCCGGTCGGCCCGAGAGCTCCGTGCCTCTCACTGTGCCATTGTCTTACGGGCGCGTGTTTCGTGTTGTGTGGTCACCGAGAAGCTTGCAACGCGCAGCAGGCTCTTTGAGACATTTCGCCAAGTCTCACTCACTGTGAGTTGTCACTATCGTGCCTGACTTGACCCGTTTCGTCCAGATGGTCTGTGGTCAGCGTCCCTGTCGTAGTCTCAGTCCCGCACGGGCGGTGGAAGCCTGTCATCGCAATCCTCGTCAACTGCCAGCAGAGCATCACTCACCAGCGACAGCTGTGTTCAGCTTCAGGAGGACCTGGTGGAGCTGAGGAGTGCGCACGCCAAGCTACGGGAGACCAGCCGCAGGGTGATCCGGGAGCGAGACAGGGCAGAGCGTGAGCGGGCAGAGCTGCTCGGCAGACACCGGCAGCGCCTGGACACTGACCGGGAGCAGGAGGGCAGGCTGGCGGCGATCATGGGACAGGTGAGCCGCCTGTCCTGCTCGGCAGACGCCAGCAGCGCCTGGATACTGACCGGGAGCAGGAAATCAGGCTGGCGGCGATCATGGGACAGGTGAGTCGCCTGTCCTGCTCGGCAGACGCCAGCGGCGCCTGGACACTGAACGGGAGCAGGAGGGCAGGCTGGCGGCGATCATGGACAGGTGAGCCGCCAGTCCTGCGCGGCAGACACCAGCAGCGCCCGAAAAATAACGCCACGTCATATCGCATCACATGATGTTACACCACATCACATCACATTATATCACATCACACCACATCACAACCATTTTACACCACACCACACCACGCCACAGCGCATTACAACACACCGCTCTCCTTTCGTGTCACGTCTCTTCCCCTCCCGTTCCAATCACACCCACCCCAAATTTTCCCACCATACCGTGATCTGTGGCTAGCGTTTTTTTTTGCCGTACGTGTTCATACACCAGACTCCACAGCATACATAGACCGAGACCTTTTGAACGGTAAAAGGTCGGGTCCCGATACAATTGACACTTTAATCCAGCGTCGTCTCATAAACGTTCTCTAGATCCAGGGTAGAGGGGTCCAAGGCTATAAATTCCATTAACTTGGGCGCGGAAAACCGCTACGCGCAGCTTAACAGCTTTGCGTTAATCGATGGACAGTTCTGCCCGCGAGCTGAACCACTGAGGTCATGTCCGGTGAGTTCAGGTGGGTTTATCCACCTCCCTGAACCAGACGGCGGGCCTGATGTCCGTCTGGGCCAGGCGGACCACCGCCCGCCGCCAGCGCATCTGTCACGTGACCCTGCGGGGCCGGGTCAGCGCGCCGCACCGCCGGACCGTTCCGAATGCTCGTTACCTGCGATAAGCATCGGGCGAGGCCGGAACTAGTGCGCCGGGGTGGATGACTCGGCGGCTTCGCCACGGCTGTAGGCTATGCGAAGCATGTGACCCCTGATCTGGGCAGGTGGTTATCATTTGTAGCGTGTCGTTGACAGGTGAGCTCAAATATCACCGAACAGCTGTGATCTTTAGCAGCCAGTATGGTAAAATATTGAGAGGCAGCTTCCAGCATCATCTCGATCGCCATCGCCGTCCGTAGTCAGTTTCACCTGTGGTTGACGCCGTTGTGCATATTTGTCTAATATGATATTTATATATATATATATATATATATACCTGTATGTATACAGCTTATTTATTTGTTTCAGATTGAAAATTTGAACGGAATCGTTCCGCTTTTGACAAAAGGTAAGTACTGGGCATGGCATTCTGGCTGGGGTTTTTTTTTCCATGTGTGTCCCACTAAGGCGAGTAGGCAGGATTTGATTCACTATGGAATAAGTTTATGATTGCCACCATTTCATAGAAACAGAGGCATGTTGTACTTTTTATTTCGGCAATTTTAGTGTCGCAGCCAACTTATTTTAGTTTCATGCAGCCTGCAGCACTCAGTCCTATGTCTTCGACCAACAGTGCTATGGAAAATTGTTATATTCATTACCGATTACCACCAGGCTCAAAGCTTCATGGTCAACGAGCGAAGGACATAGATCAGCTGCAGACCGTCGTCACGGACCTGTCTAACGCCGTCAGCGAGCTCAACACCGCCTCCAAAGGCCCTGCCGAAGTTCCGATCAGCTGTCCGAAAGAGAGGCGCCAGAAAAGCTACCGCAGGTACGACTGCATGGTCAGGTGGTCAGGTCAGGTCAGGTCAGATACGACTGCATGGTCAGGTGCAACGTCGGCCTGGGCAGACCTTCTTCATTAGGATATCTCCACTCAGGCTTGATGTCGGACAAACAGCCAGACTAATCCAGTACAAAAATATGTTGTCACTTCTTAGGCTTGGCAATGACATTCCAGCTTTGCCGAAGGAACTTTGGAACTTGAAAGGAACTTTGAGCGTTGGTCAAGCAGGGTGGGTATCTCCCCGGATCATGATGAAGCCTTCCATGCTGAGCCGGCGAGTTCGCGCAGGCCGTTCCAATAAGCTGATGTGCTAACGTCACTCGAGCTTTCTACACCTTGTGAGGGTGCTCCGACGTTGGTTGTAGCACGTTGCTCGTCCAGGCGTGCGGGTGCTGTCGAGCCATTTCGCCGTGTCCGTAAGATATGGCCTGCACAGAACTGTGACATTACGTGGACGTCACGCGGGCGCGGAATCCGCTGAAGGCGCCATTTCGTGAAGACGTGTGCTAGGCGTGCAGTTCGGGTGGCTGATGCAAGGCGTAGCCGGCGCGCCCGCTGTCGTCGGGTGCTGCATGACCGGCGCCCTCCGGCAGGTCGGCCTCGGCGGGCACGGCGTCGGTCGAGACAGGTCAGGGCTCGGAGCCCAGCCTGGGCTCCTCCTACTGGGGCTACCGATCCCCGTACCCCGCCTTGGGCCCAACCAGTCGCCTTGGCGCCGGCCTGGGGCGCAAGGCCGCCTCCATGGGGCTCCAAGGCAGTTCGCAGGTCAGTGAAAGTGAGATCATGAGCTGAGCAGCAGGCGAATGGCTTGAGCAATGTCTAGTTCACGACTGGCAAGACATGTGTTTTGTTTTATGTTTTGTTATCCAGCTTCACTAAATTACATGACTAGAACTAACCAAAATCATTTGTCATAGCGCATTCGCTGCACGCTCAGTCATGTATGCAGAGTAAAACACAACAAGTATCTTCTTGAACCCCAGCGGGATGCATCATGAACAAAGGGGAGGAACATTGGGCAAGAAAATGTATCAATTTACCCTCCCTCGGAAGGGGGTCAGTTTAACCCTCCGAAGATTTTCCGGCATTGTTTCCGAACGCCGCGCTGTAGTCACACCAAACTTTGCTTAGCTGTAGACAATGAGTGGCGGATCGTTTGGTATGAGCACTTAGATGCACCTTGTAAGGTCGCTGACCAACGGCAGGTCAAAGTCAGGCCATGGATTCAGCAAAGTCAATTTCTAGTCCATCATTCAATCTTTTGCAATAATGAAGTGTTAGAAGGAACCATACATCTTTGAGGTACTCTCGTAGGCAACATAGCAATTGAATGAGCAAATTTCATTGGCCTAGGGTCAGGTGTGACGGCCAGACCAAGGTTAAAACCAACCTGCTACATTGCTTTATGGCTTGCTGCATGGTGTAGTTTATAATGTTCATTTCGAATTCATTGATGCCACATTATAGCCACATTATAGAGCCAAATTATGCATTTTCCATGTGCTTCCTAAGGGTCAGAATACTTCATTGACCCAAAATGACCCAGGTCGACACTTTATTTTTAGAAGCATACTGCCTGGCGTAATATTTGTCGCTTATTCGAATGCAAAACTCAGAGCAGTCTTGTATCATTTTAGTCACCACGACCTTCAAAAGGTCAAAAAAGGTCACGGACCCTAATGAGCATGTGACCTTTTGCTTAGAAACAGTTATCTAGGTTCTGGGGGCACTTTGGAGACCAACGAGGAATTTGACCTTGTTTGACCTCATTTGACCCGAAGGTCATGGCCTAGGAACCTCAAACTTTGAGCCAGATGAGTTCACGTACAGTCCAGCACACCCGATGAATCTGTTGTCTATAGCTTTCTTAGTTTCTGGGATCTCAGCAGGTCGAGGTGAACCCCACCCGAGCGAAAGGGTATCCAACCGGCCACACGGGCGCGTGTTAATGCTGCATAGACGAATATACACTTACATATGCAAACAAAAATATGCCCCTGCAGTGAACCGACACATTTAACTAATTGTGCGCTACTAACATTTGCACATCAGTAGTTTTGACAATTCCGGTAGAATATACACTCTGATCACAAATGTTCGTAACTCAAATAACAAGGAAGGTCGAATTTTTTAGGGCAGCAAATTTCAGAGTTCTTGGAATATTCATGGGTCATTTCTTTCCCAAAAAATATGGGCTAATTTTGTCTTTTAATATGCATCAACAAGTAACAGACCGGGTGAGTGTAAGTTTCATTAAATATTAGAAATAGAGCAGTGGGGTTAAAACTACATGTCGCCAACTGAAAGTGCGGAAGTGGGGCTGCAATACTATAGGTTGTGTTTAGATTTTGGGGACAGGCAACGCTCTCAATGCATAATTTGATCAGCCTTTTGGGCCCTTGTTAGTATCAAAGGTATTCTGATGGTTTTTGGTAGCAGCGGCTGTTGATTTTAAGAATTGGCATTAAATCTCGATATCTTAAGTCGCTGTTAACCACACGATCTCGCATGACCAGGTATAGACAAACAATAGGAGAACAATGAACGGGCAGGATCGGCTGGTGCGCAAAACAGCGTCTTCCAGACTTGCCCTGAGACGCGGCAAACTGACAAGCGTCGTTGTTATATGCCTGTTTTGTGTATGTACAGTTATGTTTTGGCAATGAGGTGAGCCATACCATGTAGGCACCGCACTGAAGTCGTCGTCGCTGAAGAGGTAAATCCACAACTGGGAAAAGGTGACGCGAGCGTGCAACACGCAGTCAGGTCATGCGGACGAGCAACATCAGCGCTGCCGTCCAAGTGATATGGGGGATCCGCTCACACCTTGCAGGCAAGGAGAGGTCAAATTTAGCCGTGCAGAGCCACATGGAGTGGGTAAGAAGCTCAAAGGTGGCGCCTTTAGTCCAAACAGCTGACTGACTACAGAGCTCACAGCGTATTTTGCGGTCAGTGCGCAAGGTGTGGAGGGGCCCTTGTATAGTTGTTTGTAGAATGGCAGTCAGAGTTCCTGCGTGTGAAGTGAGTCAACTGAGTTACACGGTGTAAAATGGTTGGCAGAGTTCCTGCGTGTGAAGTAAGTCAATTGGGTTATTCAGCGCCATGACAGATTAAAAAGGCGTCGGAGGCGAAGACCGCCAGCAGAGAGCGACGATGGAACAGCTTTAATGGATCTTATCACAACAAGGAACTGAAATGCATGGAGTTATATGGATCGGCTGCTCAGAATTGTTGCATAGGTTGCAGTAAAATGCACAGTGCTCTAATAGCGCATTGAACAGCCGTCTCTCGTATTGTACCCTGATCCCGAAAGTCGATATATGCAGTATGCACCATGCATTTGTTTTGCTCTCGCTTTCTCCTTATTTTGGACTTTCGTGGAAAGTCCCTTTGTTGAATTACATTAATGTCGGTGTTTTGTTGTTGTTTTTTAGGATTCAGTGTACCAGCGAGACGACGGATCGGTTGAATCGCTTGGACCGTTCCATTGTCAAACCCTGCCCAGGATTAAGCTGCAAAGCGACACGAGCTTCGACAGGTGAGCTGTCTGGCCAACCTAGTGTCCTCGCCTACAATTGCGGGTTGCTTACGCATTGTTTTTAGACGTTCGCTCAGCGCAGCGTGTTATGATGTGTAACTTTTGATTTCCGTGACAATGAGATCTTTAAAACAACGCTTTGCAAAGGCTATATTTTGTTTACAACCAGGTCGTGATCACGGCCATTTTGTGTTAGGATTGCGTTGCATAGGCGCAGTATGATATATTCATCAAATGTAAGCCCTAACCAGGGCCAGGGCCAGCAGAGTTCAAGAGCACGCAATCTGGGTAGTGTGCAATTTAGAAAACAGTCGTGTGGTGTTTTCAAGTGACGGGAGACGTGCGTGCAGCGCGGCGCACGATATGCGTGCTTCTTTCTCAGTTTGAGACCCACACGCCACTGTTCTGTCTTGTTATTCAGCCCCGAGCGGCCAAAATTAGATGACTTTTTAACCACTAGGTCAGCAATTTCAAAGCTAGGCTCATATGGAGTTGTCGAAATTCTGCATTAAACCTCTTCGTTATGAACAGTTTTCACAAGCACGCTCCCCTGGCCAGCAGGTTCGCTTCCGCCGATTTCCTCAGACAGACTCAGTCTGACACCGAGTTTCAACACAATGCACCAGCGTGCTATTCCTCACCGCGCAGTTCACGCGCTTTCATATCTATTGACCCCAGGGCAATTTTTGAGTGCAGCGAAAGAGTCCCAAGACGTTCTCCATTTGCAGAGTATCAACCGAGTCCACACAGAGTGAGATTATAGCTGGGGCGCCGCCGGTTAAGAAGAAAGGCGCCCTCAGAGGCCTGCTGCGGAGCTGGGGCAGGTCCAGAAGCGAGGAGGGCGCCAACTCAGACCAGCAAACCTCTCAGTCTTCAGAGCAGGTGGGTCACGTGATACTGCTCTCGGCTGGCGGTGTCGCCCGGTAAGGACGTGCCTGCGCTAGACGCCTGTTAACGCAGAGTTATGCGGTACTGTCTTCCCTGCTACAAGAGAGTTCCATCTAAGACGGCACACTCCGCAGCGGTAGTGGTGTTAAGTGTCTGAGCGGGTACGCTCCGGAGAGGTGATGGTGTTGAGTGTCTTAGCCAGCGCACTTCAGAGCGGCGGTGGTGTTTAATGTCTGAGGCGGTATGCTTCGGAACGGTGGTTGAGTTTCAGTAGGGTGATGCGGGTCGTGACCAGTCGCTACATTCCCACATTCCGTGATATTCGCGTACGGACGTTACCCGGTTCAGGACACGGCCGGCGGTAGGCCCGCGTGCAGGTGGGATCAGGTTCAGGACACGGCCGGCGGTAGGCCCGCGTACGGATGGCATCAGGTTCAGGACACGGCCGGCGGTAGGCCCGCGTACGGGTGGGATCAGGTTCAGGACACGGCCGGGGGTAGGCCCGCGTGCGGGTGGGATCAGGTTCAGGACACGGCCGGCGGTAGGCCCGTGTACGGATGGCATCAGGTTCAGGACACGGCCGGCGGTAGGTCCGCATACGGATGCGATCAGGTTCAGGACACGGCCGGCGGTAGGCCCGCGTGCGGGTGGCATCAGGTTCAGGACACGGCCCCTGCGGGTCAGGCGGCGGGCAGCAGGCCGGGTAATTCAGCCTTGATGAAGATGGAGTGGCGGGAAGGGATTCTCGGACGGCGCTCAACCCGCTAAAGCTGGCCTCGGCGGGAGACAAGCGGTGTGCCTCGGCGTGGACTCGCATGACTGGTGATGACGGAGAGGAAACGCATCTTAACCTGTCACGCGACCAGCACCAGGCCAGACCAACAGGACGGCTGTTGCAGAATTGCAGAAGATGTTGAACTTTGCAGCTAGTATGTTCTCCGGATGACGTAAATTTGGTCGTGTGTCCGATGTTTTACGCCGATTTCATCGGTTCAGTGCCCCAAATTCATTGACTTTGACGTTGACAGCCATATTTTGTAGACGTCATCTTGGTCAGCCCTTCGTTTTGAGGAACTTGCCGCGGAGGATAACCTGTGACACTTATTTTAGATTCAAAAGTTCAAAATGCATCAAAAATTAAGTGGGTGTTTCATTTGCAGCCCACCACCCTTTCCCACTTTTCATTATAATTTTTTTCACCACTTTCATTTATTTCCCTCATCCTTTGTATCATATTGTTTACATTATTAAATAATAGTGATATTTTTAACTTGTGCTCGTTGTCTTCACGTACATCTCAGTAATAGCAAAAAGCCAAACGCACGGTTAACATATAACGCAAACTACAGACATACAGAACAAGAAAATGATTCATCCTGATGCCTCTCATCTGCGCTAGCGAATTACAAACAGTAGTACAAGGTGCAGAAGCTGTTTATGGGCATGCAAGTAGCTTCGTCTTCTTAAGCAAATGAATCAGACGAGCACGGCGATCGTATAAGAAATGAACGCATGGTTTGGAACTGTGCTGGGTTGGAAATATTTTAAATTGAGGAACTGCCACTGAGGAATTCGCAAAAGTAAAACGTATAGTGTGCTTGGTCCTGTTTTGTTTTTGTTTTACTTAAACTTTGGGCTACTTTTCTTCGCATAAGCGTGCGCCAGCAGGGCTATATGACCAGCTGAAATACGTCGTCACTCTGTGACCACCAGACGTGGTCCCGAAGTTTTCTTTCGGATCTGCATATGTCTTCTACGGTACACATTTTCACACTGGTGCCATTTGATAACCGCGGTGGCTTTAACGAGCGTCACCCATCTCTCAGAGAGAGGCTTCACCTGTTACAGGTATCCGCATCTTTCCGTGCGTGACCGTCTCGGCAGCGAGCGCGGCGTGCGTCTTTGAGCATCGCTCCTTAATCTCTTAGCATGTGCTGTGTACCTCTCGCACGCCTGATAACCGTATGTAACGGGCGACACGTCGCCTGGCAGGCCTCCGCACGACTGGACTCGGAGGCGGAGCGGCCGTCGTCCCGGGACTCGCACCAGGCACAGGCCGGGCCCAGACTCCGGCAGCGCATCAGTCAGCTGCTCAGGCCCATGTCGCCCTCTACCGCGCGCAGGTTAGCTTCAGTGCGCTGCTCACCTGCTTCCAGAGTCTTTGTGGTGTTTTCAAATCTGTTGAAAGTTGCAAGTCACGCGTTGTTCATCTCTCACTTACGGCAGGGCTCTGAATTCAGGTTACGAGCTGAGATCCAGTGGAGGGAAAGTTATCGCTTAGTCTGATTCGATTGTTTCAGTCAATGCAACTATATGACTGCATTATTGATCCGAGTACGAATCTGTGTCAGGGTGGAGCCATCAGCGGAAGTCGGTATCACCAGTGCCTCCAAGCGTGATTCGTCAGCCACAACAAAGGCTGTCACTGCCCCACCGTCCCCACTGCGGAACGTGCCGGAGGTCGTCCACACACCACCATCCCCAACGGACACAGTAAGAGCGCATGTCACACCAAACGGAAACACATGCTAGCTTCTCTGTCTGTCTGTCTGTCTGTCTGTCTGTCTGTCTGTCTGTCTGTCTGTCTGTCTGTCTGTCTGTCTGTCTGTCTGTCTGCTGTCTGTCTTGTCTGTCTGTCTGTTGTCTGTCTGTCTGTCTGTCTGTCTGTCTGTCTGTCTGTCTGTCTTCTGTCTGTCTGTCTGTCTGTCTGTTCTGTCTGTCTGTCTGTCTGTCTGTCTGTCTGTCTGTCTGTCTGTCTGTCTGTCTGTCTGTCTGTCTGTCTGTCTGTCTGTCTGTCTGTCTGTCTGTCTGTCTGTCTGTCTGTCTGTCTGTCTGTCTGTCTGTCTGTCTGTCTTGTCTGTCTGTCTGTCTGTCTGTCTGTCTGTATGTCTGTCTGTATGTCTGGTCTGCTGTCTGTCTTCTGTCTGTCTGTCTGTCTGTCTGTCTGTCTGTCTGTCTGTCTGTCTGTCTGTCTGTCTGTCTGTCTGTCTGTCTGCTGTCTGTCTGTCTGTCTGTCTGTTGTCTGTCTGTCTGTCTGTCTGTCTGTCTGTCTGTCTGTCTGTCTGTCTGTCTGTCTGGTCTGTCTGTCTGTCTGTCCTGTCTGTCTGTCTGTCTGTCTGTCTGTCTGTCTGTCTGTCTGTCTGTCTGTCTGTCTGTCTGTCTGTCTGTCTGTGTCTGGCCTGTCTGTCTGTCTGTCGTCTGCTGTCTGTCTGTCGTCATGTCTGGTCTGTCTGTCTGTCGTCTGTCGGTCTGGTCGTCTGTTGTCGTTCTGTCGTCTGTCTGTAGTCTGCTGTTGTCTTCTGTCTTGTCTGTCTGTCGTCGTCTGTCTGTCTGTCTGCTCTGTCTGTCTGTCTGTCTGTATGTATGTCTATCTGTCTTGTCGGTTGTCCCCCTTTCTGTCTTTCTCTCTCTCTCCTCTCTCTCGCTCTCTCTCTCTCTTCTCTTCTCTCTCCTCTCTCTCTTTTCTCTCTCTCCTCTCTCTCTCTCTCTTCTCTCTCCTTCTCTCTCTCTTCTCTCCTCTATCTCTCTCCTCTCTCTTCTCTCTCTCTCCTTCTCTCCTCTCTCTCTTCCTCTCTTCTCCTCCTCTCCTCTCTCTTTTACTCTTCTCTCATCTCTTCCTCCTCTCTCTCTCTCTCTCTTCTCTTCTCTCTCCCTCTCTCTCTTCCTCTCGCTCTCCTCCTCTTCTCTTCCCTCTTCTCCTTCTCTCTCTCTCTCTCTTCTCTCTCTCTCTCTCTCTCTCTCTCTCTCTCTCTCTCTCTCTCTCTCTCTCTCTCTCTCTCTCTCTCTCTCTCTCTCTCTCTCTCTCTCTCTCTCTCTCTCTCTCTCTCTCTCTCTCTCTCTCTCTCTCTCTCTCTCTCTCTCTCTCTCTCTCTCTCTCTCTCTCTCTCTCTCTCTCTCTCTCTCTCTCTCTCTCTCTCTCTCTCTCTCTCTCTCTCTCTCTCTCTCTCTCTCTCTCTCTCTCTCTCTCTCTCTCTCTCTCTCTCTCTCTCTCTCTCTCTCTCTCTCTCTCTCTCTCTCTCTCTCTCTCTCTCTCTCTCTCTCTCTCTCTCTCTCTCTCTCTCTCTCTCTCTCTCTCTCTCTCTCTCTCTCTCTCTCTCTCTCTCTCTCTCTCTCTCTCTCTCTCTCTCTCTCTCTCTCTCTCTCTCTCTCTCTCTCTCTCTCTCTCTCTCTCTCTCTCTCTCTCTCTCTCTCTCTCCTATCACAAGATTGCAACTTTGAACGTTCTTTGGCATGATGTCAATTTCATCATAATTTAGTTTTATGAATTCCAATATGCCTGTAACGCCAAGTTATGTTTTGTTTTGTTCAGTAGAAATGGAATGGAAAAGCCTGATGTGTCAAAGCTCAGTTCAAGAAGTGAAAAATGCGCCCATGTATGTTGTGTTTGACATTCCATGTTAAGTTGTGTTTTCATTCCATGTTTCGTATTTTTAATGAGCATGCAAGGACATACTTTTGCTTTGACAGATTTCATTGAGTGAAATTCGGGGTTGTCAGAATATCAGATGATTGTTGAACACGCGCCCGGGTGGCCGGCTAGATACCCTTCGCTCGGCGGTCAATTTGAACCCCACCCTCCTAAGATCTCGGGAACTAAGAAAGCTGGAAACACCAAATTTGCAGGGTGTGTTGACCTGTACGTGAACTCACTTAGATCAAAGTTTGAGGTTAATATATTGTGACCTTTGGGTCAAATAAGGTCAAACAAGGTCAAATTCCAGATTGGTCTCCAAAGTGCCCGCAGAACCTAGATAATTGTTTCTAAGCAAAAGTCCACAAGCTCATTTAAGGTCAGTGACCTTGATTTACCTTTTGAAGGTCATGGTGACCGAAATCATACAAGACTGCCCTGAGTTTTGCATTTGAATAAGCGACAAAGATTACGCTGGGCAGTATGTTCCTAAAAAAATTGCGACCTGGGTCATCTTGATCAATGACCTATGCTGACCTCTTAGAAGTCAATGAAGATGTATGATGCGGTTCCTGCTATCAATGAATTGAAAATGAGCACTGGAAACTAACCCATACAGCAAGCCCTACAGCAATAAAGTAGGCTAGTTTTGACCTTGGTCTGACCTTCATACCTGGCTTTAGGTCGACGTAATTTGCTCATTCAATGTTTGTGTTGCCTAGTAAAGCATCTCAAAGATGTACAGCTTCGTCAAACACTCCGTTGTTGGATCAGATTGAAGGATTCCCTAGAAATTGCCTTCGCTGAAACCATGGCCTGACTTTGACCTGTCATTGGTCAGTGACCTTACAAGGTACATCTAAATTCTTACACCAAACGATCTGCTATTCAATTGTCGACAGCTATGCAAAATTTGGCGGGTGTATTTGACCCACCTCCACCCGAGCGCGTGTTAATTGGATTTAAAATTGGCGGATGTCTTTGCATTTGATTCTAGATGCACAGCCTCTGAACAGCATTAGTCCTCAGCATAAAATCAAACTTTGCCTCTGTCCATAGCTATACCCGCAATACCGAATGACTTTGGGGAGCGGTGCTACTTAGGTCATTATAATCATTAAGGATAAACTTCAGCCCTAACGGAACATAATTGTGCTCGATGACCGCGCACTGACTCCATCAATCTAAACGGTCTGTAATAAAGCAATTAACAAGGCAGACACCAACGCGCATCATTTTTGGACGCTACCGTTGGCGTGAATTCGTCCTTAATCCCTGAGAGGTGACAGCAAAGACGAATGACAGGCATGCTTTCATTAAATATAACAGTAAGAGATGGGATTTGTGGAAAAATTGACCCTGGTGGAGGAAAACCGTGTTAATCCGGCTCACTTTATGCACACTCAAAGATCACCTGTTTCCATAAATTTACGGAAACCAATGCCGCAAAATTTATTAAAAAAGTCACCTCCAATCACCACTTCTTTCGGATGACGCGAAAAGGGTGTCTCATTGGAGGGTGCCTGAGCCGAAAAGGGTGTCGCATCTCACTGGACCAGCCACTCTCCGTGCAAAAGCCTTCCTAACTTTAAGAAGCATGTAGCTGGCGGTAGCTGGCGGTAGGCTGGTAGCAGACAACCCTACAGCACCATTTGGTATACCATGCTCACAACAGGCTCGCTATGGCTGGTTTCACCACACACACCTTTTGCCCGATGTCGGCACACTGCGCACACTTTGTGTGCAGTATAAGCAGCGCATATTTGACCGTTCGTGACATACGCTCACACCATTTCAACTTGTAATGTACGATTGCAGTTGTCGTGCAAGACTCCGCCAAAAGGCCGCTGATCATTGGCTGAGTGATGCTGAACTCTGGCGTGCCGAATGTGCAGGCTACACGTGCAGCCTGCGGTCAGCTGGCCAACAGCATTGTGACGTGTGACGGCGTGTCCCGCGTCTCAGGCGGCGGACCCTGAGCGGCGTGGCCGGTTACCAGTGAGCTCCTCCGGGGGCGCGAAGACCGCCAAGAGGTCACCGAAGCGAGAGACACCGAAGATTGTCATCAGTCCGGCCTCCCGGAAGCCTCCGCTGCTGTTCAGCTCCTTCAGCCGGGCGCGCGCCAAGTTTGAGTCGTGACGCGCCGAGATTGGGTCGTGACGCGCCGAGATTGACGTGTAGCGCCATGTTCGGATCAGCCACATCCAGTTTCAGATGTGCTGCGCAGATTTTGAGTCATGGCGCATAGAATTCGAGTCGTTAGTGCGGCGTTTGAGTTGTGAGATGTTCGATTAGGGCCAATGTGCGCCGAGCTGAGACGCACAGCACGCCATTTGGTTGCGTCCAGGTTGTGCGACGCACGGAAATGGGCCAACGTGCAACCATTGTTCCGTATACCTGCTATGCATCCATGGACTGCCACCTTGCTACTGAATGTCTCGGCATTACCACTATCTACCGTCGGTGTGGAGGATGAAAGCGGCTGCTGGTTTTCTGAATGTTAACTTTTACCTCGAAGTGTTGTTGGCGTACCGTGTCAGTGCAATAGCTTATTAACCGGCGGCTTCTGTTTGAATTCGTAAATAAAAGAAGTGTCCGCGTCTACGTATTCACTACTCCCTGACAGATTAAGTATGATTTAAGGTGACGTGTGGGTGGTGTTTCGAGGGGATCACGCTCCACTTGCCGAGCCTTGCCCACCTGTGGAGGTTGCATTGTTTTGTGTACATGACCTAAACCTTAGTGAAAGCAGTGTTCTAGAATTGCCGACTTTGGGTGTAAAGCAACACCATGAGGACAAATCTTTCACTCCTTTTCCCCATATTTTACGTGAATTTTTCACTCCTGCCTGATATTGTCTAATCGCACATGCCAACCCCTTTTTCTCTTTCTGAGGTTTTCAAATGTCATCTAACACCGAATTCACTTGAAACCACCAGGTATAAACGAAGCTCCACAGAACCTGGACACCTATGGCTGTGTTCTGCCTCACCTACATCTGAATCATGTCTATGTATGCACAGATTAAGGACGCCAGGTACCTCCAAGCCCAAGAATCCCAGCGACTCCAGCCGCTTGCGCGCATTAAGTTTGGTGGTGTTTTTAAAATGCATCACAATCGGCAGCTGTGGGCCAAATGCAAGGTTTTCACGCATCCCCTATTTTTTGGTCGCACCACCGCACCACGAAAGCAGAGCCTGGTGCAAACACCAGCAAGGCTTGGTAGATAATTTTACTCCACGTATTTCTTTTTTCCCGAGGTGACTTGACCACTAAATTGCATCACTCCCGAAATGCAGGAGTGAAAAATTCAAGAATTGTATTGCACTCGTACGTATCTGTACTTATCTAACTTGTGCTTGTACTGAAAGTTGTAATGACTTGTAATGTAATGTAATGTAAAAACTTGGAATGAAAAACTTGTACGTAGTTCATGCATAAATTGGATTAATTCGCCAGCCGCCCAAACATGTTTGATATGCACCCAAGCGTGAACAGTTCACATGGAATAAAGGAGACAATTTTAAGCACGAAACTTATTTTTACCGCCATTTTTTCCCTGTTAAACCCTCGGTTAACCGTTTTCTTGGTTCATGGCCGTGTTCAATAATGACAAATCTGAGCCTTACGAATGTCTAACTCACCAGGCTACCTGACGAGGCTATCCTAATGCCGCCATACAGAGCTTTGGGACAGACCTGACGCAGCTAATACAGAAGTGTTTGATGGCGAAATTCTGCCCTGTGGAGATGTTTATCATGCACACCTTTTACTTGTTTCGCATTTTAATCTCGTAGGTTGGTGGGCGTGATAAATATTTGTATTTGGGGGGCGGGGGGGGGGTGAGTGGGATGACTTTGCCTGCCAGCAGACCACGCAAAAGGTTCCGACTTTTTGTTTTGGGGGAGCAGGAAGAAGCCAGAAAGTCTCCTGTGGACCAAGTAATTGCTTACATTATCTGCTTTCAACACATGATTGGTAACCAGAGTGAGCCATTTTCTGCTTTATTCCATCGAGTTTTGTCATACGACAAATTATGATGCCACAAGGCATGCAATGGGCTTATTTTGTTCTATATTCTTGATTATTTGAGCCAAATTTCTTGAAGTGGTCCCTCATGGCAGCTTCAACCAGATGTTTTCCATAGTTGTCATGGTTTGCTGACTGGTAAATGACTGTACCGCATATGTGCACTATATTTTTAACACAGGGATACCCTAAGCTGCATAGCAATTATAATTGAGTTAAATCTTAGTATGGAACAAATAGACCATCCCATCTAAAATGTGCGGCCAACATCTCAAGCTTTGGCATTAAATATGAATAAACAAGCATAAATAGATGTCTTTGCTGCAACTGAAGAGGCAAGCAGCAATACTGGCATGGTCATCTAAAAGTTATGTTGCTTTTTGAGAAGAAACATTGTCTTGTTCAGCATACCCATCATTACCCTTGACAAGGGCTAGCCATGACAATCAAAATAAGTTGTTCGAAGTGATTTAAAGTGCTTTGATTCGTGTGTTGTCAACTTTGTCTGAAGTCAACAAGCATGCACAAATAAACTGAATAAAAACACGAGTTGAAACCAGCCAAAAATTAGCTTTATCATGTTTTTATCACGAGTGCTGCTGTCAACAGATAGGTGAGTTGAGATGATGTTCAACATATGGGCTACTCTAAGTTAGGTTAAGTTAGTTACGTGCATGGCAAGTGGCAATAGGAATGTGTAAGAATCAGTAACCCACAACTGCTGCTGTGATACAAACGGGTCAGACAGGATGAGATGAAGTAAGGCCTCTTTAGGTTAGGCATAGTTACGCTACTTTCGTAGAAATAAACATTGGTATTTTGTGAGAAACAGTAACAAAATGTTTGTTCTCTCTGACCCCATCTTAACAGAAGGTAGAGGTGCGTCTATTGTGTTCTTTTTTGCCTGGGTGTTTTACGCTTGTTGAATTTTCTGTTGTTATCTTGTTATTGAATTCCTTTCCTTTGTTTTGTGTTAAAGGTGCTGTGGAAGGCAAGTGCAAAGTGTAGCGTCAAATTATTGGTGTTGATGATTGTTAATGCTTATCATAGTGTCATGCAATTACTATGCTTTAATGTATTCTGTTTCAATTTAATGGCCTGAGATGTTAAAAGACAAAACAGTTTTGTCAGGTTTCTGATATTACGTCCATGCCATCTCGAAATAGATGTCTTTGTTTGCTGAAGCATCAGTCACGAGCTCATAAGTTCCACCTTTTGTGAATTGATTTTTTCACTCCCGCACGATGTTTTTGCAACGAAATCTTTCACCCCCCCCCCCCCGCCCCCACCCTAGTTCAAAAGCAATTCTAGCTCCCTGAGTGGACGCACGGTACATGAGCCCTGACAGCGCAAGGGGATGCGAAAAATCGTTGCCGGCCAGCGCACTCCTGAGTGGCGATTAGAGCAGTATATCGCGCATAATGTGGGTTTTATCAGCAATTCAAGCAAGGAAGTGACCACCAGCTGGCGATCGCGAAAACGCTGCGCTTTCTTTCCGTGCGAACTTTGGCGGGGCGAACGCCGCCTCATTCTGCCTGAGGAGAGCTCGGCGACCGTGGCTGATGCCACTGGATACCGATAACTCCCGGAAAAACGTCACGTTCAGCTGGCCCCTCACCGTTTTATATAACACACTCTTCACCTCAGCGGCCCGCCCAGAGCGCTCCATCAGTTGGGAGGGCATGACAGGGGGCTCGGCTGTGCCCGTCAGGCGGCGCAGGCGAGCGAAACTCCGCGTCGGTGACCCCTCACCCCACGACAAAGGCCGGCACGCCAGTCAGGTGGACTGCTGAGCACACAAACCACCATGGCTATACCGAAATATTGCTGGATGTTGCTATCTATTAATTTGCATTCTCGCATTGCTAGTGTGTTAGCAGCATGTGGTCTTATTGAGGGTGCTACGAGCTCTCAAAATTTGTTTTTTTCAATGGCTTTGGGGGATGTTAACACATCTCAGTGCGGATCGAAATAAAAGCGCCGAAACCAGACTCAGAATATATTTCCAACAACACCTGGTATTGCGACTCCTGAGACTTAATATGCAACCCTAAAGGCGGGAAAACTCGCATGCTTACAACTGACGAGTTTGTGCCGCTACCGGAGACCTGGAGTTGCGGCCACAGCAGTCTGATATGGTGCCTTTGGAGGTTTGGTGTTCTGCCCATGGCTGCCTCATGTTTTGCACAGGGCCCGGCCATGATCGGGGACCGTCACCACAATTGTGAGCCAGACTGAGTTGCTAGTAACAACCCCACACTGACGCCACGTAGAAACACTTCTTAGAAGTCCCAAAACGTTTAGCGGCCATTTGCGAATTTGTCATGACTGCAAGCATGCGGTTGGCCGCTAGGACAGGTTGGATCGTGGTTCCTTCGGTCTTTAAATGTTGTTCGCCTGCATGTTCGGAAAGATCATTGCCACCACTGATGCAAGTTGTTTGAGGCAACTGGTTTGATCCCACCTCTCGTGAAATCGACTTTGATGGCAGACTTGAACAGACCGGTTTGAGTCTGGGCTGATCAGAAAGAGTGCATGCCTGGGTAAAAGTGATCAGGTTTCATAATGATGTGACACTCCTGTCGCTGCCTGTAGTACCTACCTACTTAACGGATATTTCTACCGTTACCGATTTGTGGCTCAGATCTGGTGGCGGAAATTGCCTGGCATTGGAGTTCCCGCATAGGCCACCTATTCACCTGCCTTTACTGCGCTCTGTGGGAACTCGTACGAGACTTTGTGGCTTGTAATTTGATCACACCTGCTGAATAGTAGCTGAATGCTTCGCGCTATTTCACCCCTTCAATGTCACCAAAAAAGATGTTGATGACCTGTGCATTGCCAACCTGTGGATCATGGGTCAGCAGAACAGATACAATGCACAGTCCTTTCACTTTTGTTAACACGCGCTCGGGTGGCCGGCTAGATGCCCTTCGCTCGGGTGGGCGTTCTATTTGACCCCCCGCCCCCGCTGAGATCTCTGGAACTAAGAAAGCTAGAGACACCAAATTTACGGGGTGTGTTGACCTGTACGTGAACTCACTTAGGTCGAGGTTTCAGGTTCCTAGATTATGACCTTCGGGTCAAAAAGGTCAAACAAGATCAAGTTCCAGGTTGGTCTCCAAAGTGCCCCCAAAACATAGATAATTGCTTCTGAGCGAAAAGTCGCATGCTTATTTAAGGTCAGTGACCTTTTTTGACCTTTTGAAGGTCATGGTGACCAAAATCATACAATATTGCTTTCAGTTTTGCATTGGACTAAGCGACAAAGATTACGCTGGGCAGTATGTTCCTAAAACAAAATGTTGACCTGGGTCATTTCAGGTCAATGACCTATTCTGACCTCTAGGAAGTCTGTGGATGATGTATAATGCGGTTCCTGCTATCAATAGATTCGAAATGAGCGCCAGAAGCTATCCCATACAGCAAGCCGTAGAGTAACAAAACAGGTTGGTTTTGATCTTGGAGTGACCTTCATACCTGACCATAGGTCACGGTCATATGCTCATTAAACTGTTATGTTGCCTAAGAAAGCATCTCAGAAATGCATGGCTTCGTTTAACACTTCGTTGTTGGATCAGATTAAAGGATTCCCTAGAAATTGCCTTCGCTGAAACCATGGTTTGAGTTGGACCTGCCATAGGTCAGCGACCTTACAGGGTGCATCTAAATTTGTGATGCCAAACTATCCAATATTTAATTGTCCACAACTATTCAAAATCTGGCGCGGATGCGCCACGCCGTTCTGAAACCATTCTGGAAAAACCTTCGGGGGTCAATTTGACCCCCGCCCGAGCGCATGTTAAAGATGAATGCGTTAGAGTAACATGGGTGCACTCGGGCGGATGAATGGGCTGAAGATAATGCTGCAGTTTGTTTAAAACCCTTCAAGCAAAGAAACTACAACCCGTCATGACACCAGGAGGGTTTGCTTGTCAATGTCAAGGTGACGCTGAGAAGTG